GATGATCGTTTCACATTTTTACTGCACATGTTAAATTTACAAATTAATCTACCAATTGACTTTTACTTTTGTTTTCATGATAATATGAGACACTCTTTCCTTATATTTAGATTGTGTATTTATCTTTATTTATTAACAAAACAGTGATTCAATCAAAGATGAATCACAATATACATGTTCACTGGCCTAATCTGACCAATAGGATTGGAGATTTTACCCGCCAAAATTTATGTTTCCGAATACGCTGATTGATTTGTGGTATATTTTACCCGAAAACAGCAGTCTAAATACACATTTCTCAAAGTTTTAGATACTTTCATATATTATCTACTGTTGAATTATACGAATCTCCAATGACAATGCTCAATTCACCGGTTATTTGCCAAATCCCAAACGGGCATTCTTTTTTCCTTCCATTTTGTTTACAAACAAATCATTCGCCATTGCTTGCTTTGCTCATTGATAAAATGTTCGTTTTTTAAAAGTGAAATTCATGTTCCGTTGAAATTACTAGCATCATCAACTAAGAAACATCTTATTCGTTTTTTAAAAGCATCTTGTACATTTCTGTAAGTCAGTCGGTTGTCTTAGTGCCCCCACGTAAGCCTAGCCGAGTAGGCTAGTGACCGGCCGAAAAAATGTTAATTGGCTATAGGCCTAGAAATGTTGTCCCGATTTCGCAATTTTTAAAAGGCCCACTCACGGGCGTACACTGCACCATTTGACCAGAACATGGCCAGAATAATGCTCTTAGAGTTAAAAAATGTGGCACTTCATTAGTCACTTTTCGCCGGCTGTTTCACTGAATATCAGTTGCCACCGAATATGAGGCCTATTCAACTTGAAAAACAACTTAAAACTAAAGTCGTCTCTGCTCAAGTTCCTTGTTTCATTTGGTATACAATATATATGTTGCAAGATGACATCTATCCCTGCATTGCAGAGCGTACTTGGGGGCCCTATTACTTTTTATGGCATTTGGCATTCCAGGGCTGGCCAGGTAATATATTGCAGATGGGCTTCCGACAAAAGTATTCGATGGACCCGGCCCAGTCATTCTTATCTACATTCTCAGAGAGAGAATGAGTAGTCATCAGTTTACGCACATACATCTTCGTATGAGAATAATAATGTCCCAACTCAGGTGCCATTTTTGAAAAAGATTTTCACAGATTTCCACTATTTAAATCTTAAGCTTACTGCGAATTCTTATACTTAAATTCTTACTGAGATATTCCCTTACTACCTTTATCCCTTTATCTCCTCTCAATAACCTGCCTTTCAGTGTCAAATTGCCTTCGGCTCCATAAAAAATTCAAAAATACAATTTAACTTTTTTCTATGTAAGCTTACCACTTTAACCAATCAAATTGTTTGAATTACACCATGTGACTAAGAATTATTATCATATTACAAATTAAACTGAGATTTGAATTTATTTTTGAAAAAACGAATAGAGAAATTGAAGTCCATTGAAAATACATAGCTTTAATCTTTCGATGTTGCGAAAAACTCGGTATTGAATTGAATCTCCATTTCTAATATGCTCAAAAATTGGCTTAAAAATCTTAAAATTCATGAATTCTTTAGTGTATATACACAAATTTTTGATCAAAAGAATGTAAAAATTTCACGATATCGATATCGATATCGTCTAAAAGCTCCAAGTCGCATGGTTAATTACATAAGATTTAATAACCTTTCGTATCGTTTCAATGTTCCGAAATGTAACCCCCTTGAAAAGCATGTGTTAGGGTAATAAGTTATAACCTATGCAAATTACCTCCCCTGCCATGGCACAAATACAGCTCAAGCGTTTTCGTCCAGTGTATAGGCTTACTCCCGGGAATTGAGTAAATTCTTGGATTATTATGAACGTAATACACACAGGATATATGCCTCCAAGGATTATTACAAACCGTCTTACGTTGAATAATGGAATAACAGGCTTTGAAGGTTATTGCCTTATTTTTCACTTTTGGAATATAAATGTCTTGCAATGGCTTTCCTTCCTTCGAAATGCTTGATAGTAATCAAACCCCGGGAATCAAACTACTATTTACGATTCTGAGACATATCGGTTTGTCGGTTCCTTTTTTTATTTTTTCAGTTTTGGTTAACGCTAATTAATATATGTTCATGTCTTACATATTTGTCAATTGTGTTTAAATGAATTTGTCTTGGATAATAGTAGAAATATTCAATGTATAAATCCAATGCAATTAAACCCTTTTCAACTCTTACTAAACCCTTTATTGAGCTCAATATTGACTATTGAAAATTAAACCAACAGTTTATTTTATTGATTTTATTTATGCATTCGGAGAACTCTATCCAATTGACAGGCAAACTTCGCATTCTTTGAGTATTAGGCAATTTATTAAGGGAGAATGTTTAGCCCAACCTCAAACACTTAAACCTCAGTTTAGTTTGCTGGATGAAAGATTGGGCCACTTAAGTTGGTGTTCTTGAAATATGTACGGTATCAAATCGCAACAATTAAACCATAAAGTATGTAGTGTTTGAAAAGAGATGCATAAGCGGTTAAGGATGTAGACATCTGCAAGATATCATTAATTTGCCTCATGACGTCATGAGATACGTAGTGTGGGAAACTCCAATTTTGGTAAGTGCATTTTTTGAATCGACCATAACAGTTTAAAAAATATGCAGAATCTTTGTGTTGTAATACGGTGCATATTTCTCAAGGAGTTTTCTTTCACAACTCAATCTACTTTACTCAAAGTGAAATCGTTTTATTCACAAGAGAACGCGCAGAAAAGATAATACAAACAGGATTTCGATTTCAATTTAACCGTTATGTTATTTATTTTTTCAGTAGTGTATTTGCTTTTTCAAAAGATTGACTCAATTAAAACTTCAATATCGAGTGCACTTTACAATGAAAAATATTTGATCCCAGTTTCAGAGCAGAAGTGTAATATCAACATAGTTCTACAACTTCCTTAAAATACACACATATGTTTTTATGGCCGCGCACGAAATTCACTTTATGCATATAGGAATTAAATAATTAATCTTTAACAGTTTGGCTTATCACAGCTTTTGTGGATTTATGGCGTTGTGATATATGGAATTATCAAATTAATATGGAATGGAGATTTGGTGAAAAGAGCACGTTCAATACAGTGGAATAATAAATTTGGATTTTAATTCACAAAGCCTGGCTATATTTCATGTAAGGATTCTCAGTAGTATACTTATTATTGCTTCTGTTATAACTGACTTCACCTCACCTCGGATAATGAATCAGAATGACTGTAAAAGCATTTTTGCCCGCCTTTTTTATTTCAAATTTCAAAGTTTTTTTGTGTTTCTAACATAAAATATTTCAGGTTAATTCTTTTAAAGTATCAAGTTCAAACCATATCGCAGTGAAAATGATACCTTTAGTGAAATCTTACTTAACACTACTACATATGATTGTATAAGATGATTAAGACATTGTTCAGTTCACAGTCTTTATGCTGTGTTGTATTTGGGTTTGACGTCATGACTCAAATATTCGGGGTAAACATTAGTTGGCAGTGAAATGCATTTCATGATCTTCATTTCTAGATTAATCGATATCAAATACAACTATACTGTCATCTCTAATCATGCTCTAACCCAATACTCCACGCTCCTCTTTCTTTTTGTCCTAAGGATTCATGTATTTGTAAAATAAAATGTTTTCCAATATGAACTGAACTGTGTTTTGAACATATGTTCTCACTGTAACATGAACGTGTTGCTTAGTCATTTTCATTACTGTATTGATTTAGTTCGTCGAGAAATTATGAAATAATTCTTTGGACAGTTTGTGGAGCCTATGGGTCTTTCAGACATTTTAAAGTACTCTTGGAGTACCTACCCCAAAATAGGTGCTTACTACTTTATAAGCTGAACAACAAACAAAGTCGTGTCATAAAGACAAGAAATAGGATTTAGTCATACGATTAACAAACAAGTAAATGAGCTCAACATGAAGGTATTCAAATCGAAATGTAAGATAAGGCAAAACGGGGCAAGATCAACCATCCATTAGAGCAGATTTGGTCCATGAATAACTTGAGGCTTTTGGCTATAACTCATTTGAACACGCACAGGACAAAAGACCTGAAGACGCCACTGGAATATATCCAAATCTCCAATCTTGGGGCAGTTCATTCAGTGAGATTTCCTGCAGAAACGTCACTCATCTGGAATAATCTTGACATTAGTTTAGGATATATTTTATTGTTTGTATAATACTTAATAATATCAGAGGATCACTAGATCAGGCTTTCTATGGAATGCACATACAAATTCAGTGATATATACAATGTAACTGTTCTCGTGGAGAAGATCAGTCATTCCAATTTTCTGTAAAAGGTTTATGTCACCCAACCAGAATAATCTCGCCATTTTAAGGATATATATAATTATTATTGTTGGTACAAGGTTATAGACCAACCCTTTATTTAAGAGGCTGTTATGGTATATCAAAGGAATCACAAATGTGATCTTGGTGGTTACTCAGTCTTTATATATTTTTAAACAATAAATCACATCAATCACAATGGACGCTTCTCAAAAGACATATGAAAACAATGAGAATGAACTTTGGCTTGTTTATATGAAGGGTTATAAAATATGTATAGTTGCTTGATAGCAAAAGTGGTCAGTTTGTCCCTCGTTATTTTGAGACAATCGAATGAGAGAGTATTTTAGTTGGAGTACGGTTCTTAAATATATCAGTTACTAAATATATCTGTATTGTTAATTGAACATTATGATAATATTTATACGATATTGTCTATTGAATTCCGTATTGGATTATTGTTATGTAAGATTTAAAATGAGAGTAATCTATATTGACTCAACCAGGAGGCAAATTGCACAAAGCATGCTAAAATATGAATTATTTCATTTTCGAGATGTTTACCAAATTATCAATTGATTTATTGTTATGCATATATACAATACATATACATGTACAATACACCTGTTTACTTTCAGGTATAATATGGGACCTGTCTACACCTGCTTCGACTTTGACATGTTTCTGACGTATAGGGATTAGGTTTCTAATTGCACGCAACTAGGCCCATGATATATAAGGCAATCAGTAACCCTATCCAATTAGGGCAAAAGGTGATCCAAGGATTACGAATCTCGGCTACTTTAATCAATGGTCCATTTGGTTTATTTGATGAGTGTATAGTGTAATATTGTGGAAGCCACATTAACAATGTAAAAGCTAAAGTCAAAAAGAAAACGAATGCAGTCCAATTCAAGGAGTAGATAAGCAAAATTCAGAGGATGACAGAGCTTAAAATGATGACCATGACACAAAAGATCTATGTTTAGCAGAAAGGAAAAAATTCATAAAAAACAGAGATTGAAACAAGATGGCTGCCATAACTACCAAAAACAATGTACAAACAATTAGCAACGAGGTGAAAAGTAGACCAGTTATATTTGGTTCCCCGTCGAATAGTTCTATTAATGGCCTTCAGAATATGTCACCAAGACGGACATCACTTCCAACAGAGCAACTGCTCAGGTCGATGCCATTCTTGAATCACTTGACCAGACAAAAAGCAATGAGTCCTTTATCTTCTCCAAGATTTTCAGAGGAAACTGAAGGAGGGGCTATTCAACCAAATCCCATAATTGGTCCACGAACAACACCATTAGGAAAAGGATGGGCTGGGAGTCCACGGGCCAGCCCCCGTGCTAGTCCACGTGGGAGTCCCCGGGGAATTACGTCTTCTGTCAGTACTGGGGAAGAAAGACAGGTTAGTTGAATCACGGACTTTTTTCTTCAGGTCCGTGGTTGAGTGATTTAAATAATCCGATCTAAGCCCGACTTCTGGGAGAGTGTTGTGCTCAAATAAATTTATTGTGCTCGGATAATTTGATGTTCCTTTTCTCACTGTGCACTCATTTGTCTTTCACATTTTACATGCTTGGCATTTTTGAATATTGGACGGCCATAAGAAAATGGGTCGGTTGATATTGTTTCCTTGTATTTTGGATGTCTTGTGTTGCTTTATGCTTTTTCTTTTCCCCGTAAGTCCAATGGACTTTTCAGGTCCTTTCGGCTTAGCAATGTATACTGAAATTGGGATGAATAGACCCCTATGGTCAATAGTGTTTAAATGCATGTATTCAAGTCAGTTGATGCTAATCTGGTTTAATGAATTTTTAAATTAAAATTTGTTTTCGTTTTTAACATCCAATGCTTCATTGTTGTGAGAGACACTTTCAAGGTTCATGATCAATTGTTTTCTTTGCTCACTATCATAATATTTTCGTTTCTCAAACGTTACCGTATGTTTTTCGAAATGCAATTAGATTAAGCCAACAAACTATTACTGGGCCAACAATAGTATTGTAATTGTACCTTCAGATAAAGCACATAAACAAATATTTGTAGTTCAGCTTTTTGATGTAATGAATGGCACGAGGGTTTAGTTGATTTAATAAAACTCCAAGAGAAATCTCTCAACGTCGACCTTCAACTGAATGAAAATTCAGCATGGTATAGTCCAGCCAACAAATTGCAACTAGAGTAACAGGGGTTTCAATAAATATTTTTTCAACAGGCCTTCGGCAATTTCAACAGGCTGAATTTTTTATCGACCATTCGCCGCTCGCTTCGCTCGCATTCTCGTTCATATTTGGAGTTAAATGTTACCCCTTGTGCTTCCTCACTGTGACGTAAAACAATAAAATCAGTATTTTCCTGTCACTTTAATACAAACAGTATGAGCAATAGATCTATTTGACTTGTTCATTCTTTATTACGGTGTTTTTTAAATGTTGACTCATGTAAAGTAATAAACTCAATATTCCTTTCTGACACATTATTAATCTCAATGAAATACTGTATAAAGATTAACATTCAATAGTTTGATATGCATTTTTGACTTGTAATATTTTATTTGTTTTCAAATGTTGCCCTTTGTGCTTCCTCACTATGATGTAAGATAATACCAAGAAGATCAATTGTATTGATTATACTGTTTGTTTTCAAGTACATGTGTAATTGTTAATAATATAGTGTCCATTGAAAGTTGACAGGACAGTGATAAAGGTTTTTTGCTACTGACCCATTAGTCTCAAAGCAATGTTGGTTTGAGAGTAGGTCAATAAAAATGGTGGCCGGATTACAGTAAGATAATTATCAAGAGGAGGGAAAGCCCCAGAGTTTCAAGATGACAGACATAATTACCTCTCTTGCTTACCACCTTCGTTCGTTCGAATTTTCATCGGCTAGCTATCAAATACTACACTTCGATGGGATGTTATAATTGATATAGGCATATTCCGTACACCTTTCTTTATCTTGATGTGAAATGAGAAGCTATGATATTGGTTAACACGCCAGAAATGAACATAATATTATTCGAAGCGTATTTCGAAAATTTTGAAATCGCCATTGATGACGTCATTTGTTTGTCGACTTTTGACCAATCAGCGACCGTGTCATCTCAATACAGATTTACATTATAAGCGTATGTCATCTTTGAACCCTGGTGTTTCTCCCCCTCTGATAATTATCTTAGTGTTTCTCTAAAACACTGCTGATTATCTGCCTATTATACTTAGATTTTGCCTTCACAAGGTAGGCCAATTTATATTCTTTCATTTGATATGTCAAACTAAATTGATTTGTCTCATGTGTCAGCAAAATCTCTCATCATTTGGACCGGCAATTTTTTTCTCAATTTTTTTTTCTCTCAAAATTTGAACCGGCGTAACTGGGATTTGAAGCGGCGTTTTCGCCGCCCGCCGGCTGTTATTGAAACCCCAGGAGTAAGCCTACCTTTATTCAGTCGTACCCGAGACCGGAGATCCAGTCCCCCAAAACACTTATAGACAAGGCATTAACATACATAACGCCTCCACCTGTCACTTGCAGGCGCCGAACAATAGGCCCATCACCGAATACCAACCACCGAACACCGTCTACAAGCAAACAGAGGTCCGACTATTACCATGTTGAATTTAATCAGTTGAAGGTCGATTAGAAAACCATCTTTTTAATTAGAAAACTACATTTTAGTGGTATTTGTACATGTTTACACTGACGTTTTCTCGTCCATGTATTTTAGCTAAATAATTCAGTTTTAGAGATTCAATACTTGACCTTTACATTTCTTAATTAACTTTATACTAATATTATTATAAACCTGCATTTAATAATGGTCTGTTTGTTGAAGGTCAGTTTGTTTTAAACAATCCTTATATCAAGGACAGATGATATTTACTTTATGGTAATTGGATCCCTGTAGACGTCGTTATAGGCCATCAGCTTCACCCCAAAATTTAGCTTATCGGTACCAAGTTAGGGGAATAATGCTCATAGTGATTTTTGGCTAGGTAAATACCTCCAGAGTAAGAAAATATGTGATAGCATTGCAGGAGTGGTAGCTTATGGGTGTTATCACCCATTTTTCAAAATGGCTGCTTTTGCGCTTTTGACCAAATAAAAGAGATCATATCTTAGTATAATGAGAGGCAAAATCAGTGATTTTGAAGTCTATTTCTGGGTTTTAGGAGTCAAGGATTTCATTCATGTCAAAATCTAAGTCATCTAAAAATTGCTTTATATGGAAATCCAAGATGGCCACCAAAATGGGTCTCAAAACAAATATGTTACTATTGATATAAGCTAAAAAAAAGCTCAAAGAACGGTTAAAAAGTGACTTTGGAGACCATGAATAGGATTTAAAGGCTGGGGATTTTATTTGTGTTTAAATTTAAGTAATAATAGAAATCCTCTATATGAAATTCCAAGATGGCCACCAAAATGAGTGTCAAAATGAATATGTAAACTATTTATATAAACTCAAAGAATAGTTAAAAAGTGCTTTTGTAGACCATGATAGGGTTTTAGAGGTTTATACGGATTCCATCCATGGATAAATCTAATTAAAGATTAAAGAATACCTTTATATAGAAATTTGAAATGGCTGCCAAAATGGCCAAACATATGGCTGCTAAAATGAATTTATACGCACATAGAAAAGTTAGAAAAGTAATGTACGTAATAGATATCTGAAACTAGGTTTCAGGGGAAAATGGTTTCAATTTAGACTTTACCAAAGTCATCTTAACCTTTCCTCATATTAAAATCCAAAATGATCACCAAAATGGCTGCCAAAATGAATATTTACATGTACATACATGTATATCTATAAGCATTAACAGAGGATGTTGGCAAGTGATTGTGGTATCTTTGACTAGTTAACTAGGATCTAGGGATTGAGGATTTCAGTTACAACTGAAATTTTTTCTCTTCACTTTAATTGTTAAATTGTTGTCTTGATGAAAATCAAAGATGGCTGCCAAAATCGCTGCCAAATTGGCTGTTGGTTAAGTTTTTTCCTATTTTCTCTTTATCTGTTATAACCTCTATATTTTTCAGTGTTCTTTTTTGTTGTTGTTTTCATTTTTGTTTTTCTTTCTTCTTTTTTCTTTGCTGCCTTTCAATTTTCTTGTTTTATTTGTGTTTTCTCATTTGTGTTGTCTTTGTTTTTTCATTTTCTTTGTTTTTCTCTTTTTCTTTTTTCTTGGAATTAGAGTCAATTAGAGCTTTTGGGATACACCAAAATTTAACTTGGTCCATTGTCAAGAGCTGATTCCCAGAGTGCTAAAATACTTATTAACCTTTTTTTGGGTGTGTGTTTGTTTGAGATTATTGGAACCAAAGTTGCCTATCTACTCCCAGGTAACCTTTGCAAGTTACCCCTTCTTACTCTGTTGATGTTGCTCTTTCTCCTCAGCCTCTGTTGTTGTAATGGAAGTTACATAGTTGGAAAAGTCATAGAACAACACCAAACTGAAAGCATGAGACTTTGAACCAACTCCCTACATGGCTAAGGTCAATAGCTTTCATTCATTTTTCTAGTTCTCACAGATGCTGTTGATATCTTTAAGAAACTCATCAAAATATTTCCCTAGATATTCAATTCTCTCATCATGGATAGTATGAATAATTGCACATTAGCTGCCTTTGTATACCACTCAGCTGAAAAGATTCCCTGGATTGCACTAAATACATGCCCAATTGGCCATCATCTCGAGGCAGCTTAGAATCCGTTGTGCTCCAGGGAATGACTAGGTCATAACAGTGATGATGTCCATAAAGGCTTGGCAAGAAGGATGGTTTGTGTCATCATTCACTTTGAGACCTCCCTACTTGGATTCTTCTGCTTTCACAATCCAGTTCATTGCTGCGATGAAGAGGGTACAATTGAGATGGTACATCCCATCAGGGCCATCTTGGATATTCAAATAAATGTATTCCAAAATTACTTATTCTTTTGGCAGCCATTTTGGTTGCCATCCTGAATATCCAAATAAAATAATTATTTGATGACTAAGTTTTATACATAATTAAAGTTCTTGACCATTGAAACCTAGACATGGTCTCCAAAATCACTTTGAACATATATTAATAGTAACATATTCATTTTGGCAGCCATCTGAGATTTCCACATCAAGTTATTCTTTGATGACTAAGAGAATAAAATCATTGATCCCCTAGACATGGTCTCCAAAATCACTTTGAACATATATTAATAGTAACATATTCATTTTGGCAGCCATCTGAGATTTCCACATCAAGTTATTCTTTGATGACTAAGAGAATAAAATCATTGATCCCCTAACACTTTCATGGTCTATAAAATTAATTTTTATCTGTTCTTTGAGCTTATATCAATACATGTTTGCATTTTCATTTTGGTGGCCATCTTGGATTTTCATTTAAAGCAATTCTTTGCTGACTTAGACTTAAATGAGGCCCCCAAACCCTTTCATTGTCTACAAAATTGCTTTTTATCTGTTCCTTGAGCTTGCATATATATCAATACTGTAATAACATATTCGTTTTGGCACCTATTTTGCGGCCATCTTGGATTTCAATACAAGGTAATCCTTTGATGACAAAGCTTTAGACATGAATAAAATCTGAAGACTCTAAAACCTCTTCTAAAACTCTTCAAAATCATGTTGAAATGTTTTTGAGCTTGTATCATTAGTACATATTTGTTTTTGAACCAAATTTGGCGGCCATCTTGGATTTTCATATGAATTAATGTTTCGATGACTTGGATTTAGGCATAACTCAAATCATTGACCCCTAAACTCAAAATTAGACCCTAAAATCACTGATTTTGCCTCTCAGTATGCTTAGATATAACTTCTTTTATTTGGTAGCAAGCGCACCGGCGGCCATTTTGAAAAATGGGTGATAACACCTATTAAGCTACCACTTCTGCAATGCTATCACATATTTTCTTACTTTAGGGGTCTAGACCTTCTCAAAAATCACCATGGCCATTATTCCCCTGATTTGGTACCGACCAACCCCCCAGGCTGATCGCCTATTATTAAATAATGTTAGGGTAATGTACTGATTCTAAGTACACATGTACTTCCCTTAAATATCAAACTTTAGTCTCGAATTTGTTTTCTCATTATGACAATATCTTTGTATATATTTGTTATTTATGTCAAAAAATATATCTAATTTTTAAAATTTAATTCTAATTTGCTGTTTTTCATCACATGACTGTTGTATTAAGTCGTAGTTAGTTATATTCAAAATATGGGACTTCTTCGAGACTTCTTGGTAGCCATATTGAATTTTGATTTGAATTTATTTTTCAAAAATCAAAACCAAAAGCTGTTTTTAACACGAACTGTGCAAGTATTCTACATGCATTTGCAATGGACTCAAAACGGATATTTCCTGGATCTAAATATATAAAATCCATGTGAAAGGGTCGTTGAAGAGGACCAAAATAAGCGTTAATAATTTATATTTTTTGAATGTCTGCCGAATTTTTTATGAAAAATCAAAACAAAATTTGAATATCGACGGTCAGAGAATTAGAAGGTAGTCTAAGGATGTATCGTGGTTGATTCAGTTATCACTGTTGTAATGCCTTTGCTGAAACATTGTTTGATGATCTAGATGTGATCAGAACAAGTTAGAATGTCAATGTATAAACCATCACCTCGAACTCCATATCAACGAACTAATCAGCATTACAGTGGTACCCCTGAGAGGCAGCATAGTGCACCAAGTAGTGCTGGCAGCAGTGCGCCTCAATCACCATCTAGATGGATGGATTGGGAGGTATACTATTGAATCTTTTTCCATGGAACATGGACGAATAGACTCAGTTGTAAATGACTCACTTTGACCATATGCAGCCATACGAAATTCTGAATTTTGAAGAATACATGTATTTCAGGAATAATTTCGTAAAATCATCAAATGTCTACAGTCTGAACAATAGATAAATGAGAAGTAGATTTGATAAAGTGTGGATTTCCCATGTTAAAAAATGGAGAATTTTCAGGAGGCCATGTACCAGTGGATGAGAGAATACAAAATGTGAAGCATACACATTTTAGGGGATATGTATTTAGGCTATGTTGAAAACTATTGGCTTTGGATTGGAAGTCGTGATGGAAAATCAACTACTCATTCATTTATTGCTCACACTAGTGGCATTTACTAAAGTTGAGTTTCAATGGCTATACAGGCCACTTTGAAACCTCAAAATGTAGACTGCAGTTCATAATCACCAAAAAAAGTTATGAGTCAAACTGTGTGTCCCAAAGTTTATTTCATTTGTTATGTTAATCCGAGACAATAGCAATTAGCATCCTTAATATAATATGGGCACTCTTCATGAATCATGATGATTCATCACATTTGCATTATTAAACAAATCAACTACTTTTTATTTGCTTATTTCAGTTATGACATGTACAATTGATAACTGAGATCTGATGCAACCATCAGCGCCCAATTCAAAAATGATTTCCTTAAAAGAATTTTAAACATAGCTTATTCAGTATACTGTAAGTCACAAATCAAATATATCTTGGCTCAATGACAACTAGCTAGTTGCATGGAACATCCTAATTATACTAACTTTGTTAAATCATTAAGAATAATTACATTGATGATTAGGCATTGTGATGTCTGAAGACAGATCTATATTTTTGTGTAAAAGTAGCACTCTGGTTTTTATGTCGCAATCCTGAATTTTCGTCATACTTTGACGTCAGTTTTTTCAGTCCTTTATCTTTTCTGTTTATCCTTAGATCTAGAATCTTTGTGTGGTCATTTAATTAAACATAACATACTCATGGGACATGACTCAAAAATGGTGTCAATGTTTTACCCCTTTGCCCTATAGGGTTGAAATCTGTTTCATTTGTTGCATAACATAACATGATGATTATTGATTACTAATGTTATTGAATGTCACATTTTGGAGGTCACTCCATTGCAGTAACATTTTCACAGACTCATTTGAGTTTTAAACTTCTGATCAAACAATGGATGACATTCAAGGCCAGGTGATACATAAATTATTTGAAATAAAATATTTAGTATTTAGGTTTATTTTGCACATTTGTGCTGGTGAAACTTAACATGAAGTTACAGTACAAAGGCATATTTTTGTAAGACTGCGGAGAAAGGGAATTTGATAATGTTGCGTTACGTTTAAGCTTCTAATCGCGAGTATCATTCAATTTAACCATGATCAAGTTCATTTTTAGGATTAAAATCATGCTCTGGGTCAAAAAATCATGTACAAAAATGTAGCCTAAGTTTATAAATAATGTAATTAATGACGATGCTTTGATAAATTGAAGTTGATTGGCATTATGCAAATGTCTAGAGAGTGACAATAACTAGGTTTATCTTCATTTACATTAAGTACTTTTTGCTGTAGAGGGGGGGGGGTGCCGTTGTTTTTTGACACCCTGTACATGTATATCATTCAAAAGGGCAAGTCAAAATCCATTACATTTATTTCTTATATAAAGATGAGTTTACAATTTAAAGTTTTACAGTTATTTTCTTTGTTCCAGCAACAACTACAGGCTTATGTGAACTGGATAAACTCTCAGTTGAAGAAACGGCCAGGGGTCCGACTAATTGAAGATCTACGCAATGATATAAAAGATGGTGTTGCACTTATAACTCTCATTGAGGTTGTTGGTAAGAAAATGCACTTTTAATAGTTTAACAAACTCTAAATGTATGTGAAACGTTGATGTGAAACTCATAATTATTAAATGAAAAGTGAAAAGTAAATGAAAGTTCAAAAAGTGGAGCATAAATTCTATATGTACATATTGATCTATACAAATTGTAAGTCAGTGTTATCTTGTAAGTCAGTATTATTGTTTGGCTGCTGAGAAGCTGATATTTTCAAAAATCAGTTGAAAGTGACATGTTACCTCCTACTGGTAGACCTGGAATCTCAATTTACATGTATAATTAGTAATTACACACCCTAACGAATAGGTGATTGACAGCTTGGTTGTTATATTTGAAGGTAAAGAACCACTGGCAGGTGTACATAAAGTACCTAGCAACATACATGAGATGAGAGACAATGTGGATAAGGTGCTACAGTTCATGCAGATGAAGAAGATAAGGATGCACAGGACACATGTTAATGGTAACATACGTCATTTGTGTGTATAATTAAATAAACCTGATTTAAAATATATTGGGGGGGGGGGGGGGCATGGAATTGCTTGTTTGTTCATTAGTTCTGTAAATGTTGGCAGAATGTGGTTCTAAAAATATACAGTACATCTCTTGTTTTGTCAGTTGCATCAATCATTCTTTTAATATTGGTCTTATATCAAAAAAAATCAAATTAATAGGCTATAATAACTATATAAAAGATATCCAGTTCTTAGATCTTATCAGATACTTATCTCCCCATGTTATCTCTATTTAGATATAGTAGATGGGAACTTGAAGGCCATAATGCGATTGATACTGGCCCTGGCTGCACATTACAAACCCAACAGTGTGAAACAGTCCACCAGACAATCCAGCAATATTGAGTCAACACCTAAGAACACTGCTAACATGGGACTGGCTGGTATGGCCCAGGTGAGTGTCTATTTTCTAGTTCGAACACCCTGGGGCAAGAGTAATAATATAGAGCCTCTGGCTAAGATAGACAAATTCATAGTTTATTCTAATAAGAAGTAGCAGAGATTCAAGATTCAAGTGTTGCCCATTGTGTTTTCTAAACTAAACTGGTTTTTAATCAAACTTACAGATTTGGTTTACAGTATCGATATGGCCCTAATGGACAATTGTTATCAAATTAGGTTGTGATTCAATAGTATTTGTGTAATTCAATTTGCCACAACATTAGACATTGAATGTGTTTCCCTTTGAAAGGTTTCACATAGTAAGGCTAATTTTGATGTTTTAGGGTGCAATGGTTGCCTTGTCTGATGCCAGGAGGGATGTAGCCAGAGTAGGGCAGAAGATCAGGAGACCATTGAATTTCAATGGAGATCACAGGTATGCACTGTTAATGTTTATCCCAATATAGATATCTCTATTGATCATAATATACTGCATACATTGAAACATGTAAAGTGGAACACATCTGTTAGTGGAACACTTTTAAGAGTCCTATGGCCAACTACTTAATGTAAATAAAACTCTATAAGTGGAACACCTCCCAAGCGGAACACTTTAGAGGTACCAAAGGTGTTCCACCTAGACAGGTTCTTCTGTATCTGTGTTGCATCATTAATTTTAAGAGAACATTTACATACATACAGTCCAATGACAGACCTATGTACAGTATATTCAAACAAAAATGAAGTTATTGTTATTTGTATTGTCGTTTTACTGGAAAACAAGTCCAATTTAGGGCTACAGTTCTCAACTTCTCATTTTCAACCCTCTGATAGTAATTACTATACACTGAACCTTTTGATAATTAGAATTTAATTTTGTTCCTAAGTTGAGCACTACATCACTACATGTACTTGTACTATGCTATTCTTAAGTGCGAAAAATATGAGACATTTTCAAGGTCAATGCATTGTATTAACGTCTTGTATACTTGGCCAAAAATAGCATTCGATTTTATACTTTAATTTCCTTTACATCAATTATTCAGCACTGGATACATGATATTTAACACATTCATAATGTTAAACTGTTTATTTAACTAATATCTGGTGAAAACCATGAACAGTTGTGGTTCAAAAAATATATGATCATTTTATCTAACAATGCAAATCAATGAACTTCTTGACTGTATTGTTGATATTTCAAAGGCTGGTATTTATTTAGTATGTTTTTTACAAAGAGTTTAGCATTTTATTATTTACTTTAAGTATTAAGGTCTTTCACACGAACATTCCAATTTAAAACAGGTTGAAAAATCCTCAAAGGCATTTATAAGGACTAATTTATATGACCTTTACATTATAAAAGTTCGCTAAGCGCTAGAAGTTGGAGTCTAAGATTGGATGAAATTAATAAATGCAAAATAATTGATTCGATAGAATATTATCTGTCCTTTGTTGCTTTTGATATGTGTATGGCAAAATAGATCTTGGAGATGCCTATTTCATATGCAGGACTACATTATACTGTACATGTATAATAGAGAAAGTTTTATAAAAAAAATGCAAACTTTTTTGAAAGTGAAAATTGGATTATTTGGGAGTACAGGAGTACAGCTGGTAAATGTAAAGTACACTTGGCAATGTACAGATCTGTCTACAGCACTTATATTACATCTTGCAGGCCTTATTACAGCAGCTCTGACGCTGACTCCTCCGAATACAGCTTTGCAAGCTCACAGCCTTTATCTCGTAGTAGCCAGCGAGATGCTGATGGCGCTAGTTGCCATGGCAGCCCAAACACCAGTATACATGGGAGTCCAAGGACTAGTTTGCATGCGGTTAATGAAAGTAGGAATTCACCAGTGAGGCCAAATGGTCTTCCAAAGAGTATGTCCCAAGATTTTGAAACAAGTAAGTATTTGTTATTTATTTTGAAATTAATACAAAAGGTTTATAGTGTATGAAAGAGCTATGATCATATGACTTGATATGTGCTTTGACCTGGCAATTGAAAAATTCCAATTTATATACATGTTATAATTTATACTCTTTTTATGGTCTATATGTAGTTGTTTTGGTATGACCCAATTCCTATGTTTGTTTGTGGGATCTTATATTGTAAAATATTTCTCAACCTGAAAATTTCTTTTTGCATCTTTTGACTGCTCAAAAATCCATCCATTTATTTTCTTAAGACAGTATCATGTTTGGCATGTTGTACTGCTCTGGGCTGCCTATTCTATTAATTTCTTTCTTTCTAGGTTTACATGACTCGCATAAAAAAGATGTAAAAGCTGCTGTTTCTGATGCCAAACTTGAAAACATGTGGATCGGTCTACTACAGGAGCACAGTATTCTCCAGTATGATATGTCGGACACCAAGACCACATTGTTACAACTTCAAGACCTAGTGAGTAGACAAATTGAACATGTACAAACTTCAAAAAAATACCCTAAAATAAAATAAAGTGTTCACATTTCATTGCCTTCACTTAAATGTATATTATGAATGAGAAGATGAATGGAAATGATAAAAGTTAATGCTGTATACATGTATAAGTATCATCCAGACACAATTTAAGGTCAGGGTGCACTTTGATGAAATTTCATGACCATGTGCTATTTTCAGATAAACATAACTCATTCCACACATCATCTTCATCTTTCATTCTTGCACAAAAGATGCATTAGTGTACCCAGACTTTTAATTGAGGGTTGATAATTATTCAGATTGTTTAATAACTAGAATATTCAGTGGTTTACTTTTCAAAATTGCAAAAAATTCCAACATGCACCCTGGCCTTAAACTTTTTTGATAATCAGCAGTCTAAAATTACATTTTCTTATTAACCGTTCATAATTATTCATATAAATGCAAAGAATTTTCTTGTTCTTCTAGTTACTGCGGGGAGACTTACCAGATGGAGAAGACTCTAGTAACTGTATAGAAGCTACCAATGATTCAGATCAACTTGTAAGTACAAGCGTTGTCATGGAAATGTATTTTGTTGCCTATAAATGTGTAAACTGAGTCTTGTATGTAACTGAGAAAAACGATCATCATAACATTGATTTGTGATAATATGTATTTATTATCTTTTAAGACTCATATTTAGCAAAATGTGTGGCCTGAATATATGCATTGAAAATTCATTCATAATAGAAAGTACAACGTCATCCTATTGATAACTTTCACATATTTTTACCTTTGGTTTTGGCTAATGAAGTATTCATTATTCTAAAAGGTTTTACACATATAATTAACAATAGGAGGTCAAAAATATCCTTGTTTATTTAGGTGATTTTGAATGCGAAGCTCATCAAGTCAGAGAGCCTGTGCAATGACCTGAGGGAAGAGCTGTCAAAGGTGAAAACTGACTGCATGGAGCTACAAGGGACGAAGGTAAATACGATTAAGGTTGTCTCAAAAGTCTTGCTACGTGAATTCTGGAATTGTCAGATTAAAGGCATTTTTGGAAATAAGCAAATATAGGTAGATGTATTATTCTACTTTCTAAAACTACTACTGTAACAATTTTGTCCCTGTTCAGGGTAAAATTAAAACACTTGAATTATGACATAAAACCTCTGATGGTAGGGACGTATATGTACTTTGAAAAGCTTTTTATTTCTAAGATTATGTATTTGATTTCAGTCTGGCTTGCAACAGCGACTGTCAGAACAAGAGAGCTCACTACTACAGATGAAGGCAGAGATGTTACGTTTAGGCTTCACACAAGAAAATTTAGAATCGGAAAAGGTAAATAAAAGATGTATTACCTTGGAGTAATGATAATGGTCCAAATAAGATAAGTGCCGAAAGGTTTAAAATTTGCTTAGATACAGATTGGGTGTGAACAAGTCAGATTGATTTGGATTGGGACGGACAGGATTCATTTCATTGATTCATACATTTAAAGTTGTAGTGCATTTCTTCAATTAGAGCATTCATCTGATTATTGACACATGGTTGAATTTTGTTTTTGTTTTTTTGATGGTTGAATGTTTCTTAAAATGCCAATTAAAGTTTCTGAGATACGATTGACTCCTCATTATCCATTTGAATTCGGGTTGTGTGCTACAAAACCTCTTAGAAACTAAGCACAAATGTTTGATTACAGATTGAGTTGCAGAAGCGACTCAATGAGAAGGACAAGCAGATCTCAGAGTTGAAGAAACAGGTCCACCAGAGAGACATACATCTACAGCAGTCACAGGTATGGGTTGATTGAAACAAAATTCACGTAATGTTGAGACACATGTAGCGATAATTTATTTAAGGATTTAAGTGAAGGACTCATTGAATTGTAGGTGATTCATACCATATGTGTCCTGTTTCAAAGGAGTGAATTTGTTTCCAAGTAACCTTTTGGAAGGGTTTTGCAAGGTTAAATTGTCAAAACCAACCATTTTACATTTTGACCTGCATAAGCACCTGCCTTGCTATGAGACTGTTATGATACCATTTATAGGGTTTCACTGAATAATCATGCAATATGTTGTAATTTTATTTATTTGTTGTTTTCTTCATTATTTATTAGGCCAATGACAATTTAAGATCTCAAGTTCACCAACTTAACTCAAAACTACGACATGTCGGAGAATCTGAGGCCTCACTTTCTGCAAAAATTGCGTCACATGATCAGAAAATGGCTCAGCTTGAGGGGAAGCTATTACAAAGTATAGATGGCTCTCCTAGACAATCTCCGCTTAAAGCTGTACATGTAAGTAAAATACTACTAATTTGGTATATGATTTTTGAGTTCTTATTTACGAGTGGGTCATAGGATCCAATTTTTGGCCCCCTGGCTCCCCTTCTATACAGTGTTGTGTAAAGGGCAGGGGTTTCATTAGCAGCACACAGCAGACAATTTTCTCAAGTTATTTTTACATAAATTTCCTGTACTTTTGAAGAATTTGTCAACTGTTTCCAATTTCCATCATGATTCCACAGAATTGAGTGGATATTATTTTTGAGAAACATTGTAGAATGTAACAAAGTCCAACAAAAAATTAATTAAAACAATTTTAGTCTGATGCACAGAAATGAAATAAAAAACACCCTGAAAAATCTCATGGCATATTAAAAAAATGTATATTGATTCTTTTCTACCATAGCCTGGTACCACAGAGGAAATCATGGTTATGAAAGAATCTCTACATAATCTACGGGGCAGTTTTCCCCGCAACGACCCCCATCATCACACCATTGACACACTAGAACAGAGCGTCTCATCACTACTGGAACAACTTCAGGTCACTCGAGAGAGGAGGGTGAGTAAAATTGATTATTATTGCAGAAAATTGGGTCTATGTTTCATCAGTAGAAATGAATATGGTAATTTTGTTCCATTGGATTTGCTGACATTACTACACCAATATACTTATACAGGGTGATCCACAAAATGGGACACTCATATTTCAAAAATAAATATTGATTTTATTTATGAAAATATATCATATTATATAACAATGGATAGGGAATTTATTTATTTAAAATTTGGTACATCATGAGTTCAAATTTATTATGTCTGTCAATCAGCGTCCATTATATAAATGACGTCATTTTCGTTTCAAAACGGGTTTTCCAAAATTTGCAAAAACCAAAGAAAATCAATATTTATTTTTGTAATACAAGTGTCCCATTTTTTGGACCACCCTGTACATATACATGGCACTTTGTTGTCATCTAATGCTGATGGGTGTGTGGGTGTTTAGATGTGCAAGTGGACGCCAAATGAATCAATTCTTGTCATCAAAATTTCAGGAAAACTGTTAACCCGTTCAACTTGAAATTTTTGCAGATGCAAGAATGGACTAGTGCCAAAATCTGATTAGGTTTAGGGTATGCTGGGTAAATTACTTGGTGGCCATTTCGAATTTTTTATATGGCCACTTTCAATTCAACAAGTCATCCATATTATGTTTCAGGATTCCAGTGACAGCATAACTAGAAGACTGAACTTTGATTCCACTGGGGACACCAGGCGGTCCCCTATTACAGCATTACCAGGTAAGACTAACTGAAATACTAAGCTATTTACAAGATTAATAGAAACAAAGAAATATCTCTTCATGAATGAAGCTTATGTATTTTCTTCCTTTGGTAGAACATAATTTATTCATATAAACTTCATTGCAGATCTGGGATGTTTAGTAAAACACTGTGCTTCCACATTATTGTGTACTAAATATCTTTCATATTGAATTGGACAATTTTGAGTTTGAACTGAATGCTTTTGTAGGCTTTCCTGTACAGAGACTTGACAACCAACCAGCTAATGGCCAACAATTGACAAAGGTGCTATACTTCACTGACAGAACTGTCACCCCATTCATGTGCAACATTCCAAAAAGGTAACTACAAATTTGAGGTCAGTCAGGTCAAATTGGGTGAGCCTATATTGAAATTCGTTGGGTCATGGGTGGGTAGGGTAATACTAATTGTATTGTATTTTTGTTTATCACCAATTAAGGTGAGCAATACCTCTTGGGTATATTCCGTACATAAACGGTAGTAATTAACGTAATTAGCCTGGAACCCAGAAACCCTTCCTTGAAGGAGCCCTGTGTTCCTTTATGTGCACTCATACTTGGACATACAAGTACACACCACAGCCTTTTGTACGAGTTGTGGACCACTCAGTCAAACACCCCGAAGTACTTTACGCAAACGAGAAAATTAAGTCTTGCCTGAACCAGGGATCGAATCTGGGACCTATTGCATAAGAGGTACCCGCGCTACAGCTGAGCTATATGGATGGACTAATAACAGTCAGGCAGTGTATGGGGTAATTGGTTTTTGCGATTACTTGGCTAAATGGTCTCCATTCTCTAACCTCTATAAAAGAATGTGGTGTGTTTGTGTACATTTGTATCAGACTGTCTGCACAATCAACAAGAATACGGGGTTCTTTTGCATAGTTGGCACTAGGTGTAATAATATTACTTTGGGAGGTAAATAAAAATAGATTTCATTTGTTATATTTTAGGTTAGGAGAGATTACTCTTAGAGATATCAAACAGATTGTTACACGACCTGGAAACTTCAAGTACCACTTTAAAGCACTAGATCCAGAGTTTGGTACTGTAAAAGAAGAGGTAAGTACCACTTTAAAGCACTAGATCCAGAGTTTGGTACTGTAAAAGAAGAGGTAAGTACCACTTTAAAGCACTAGATCCAGAGTTTGGTACTGTAAAAGAAGAGGTAAGTACCACTTTAAAGCACTAGATCCAGAGTTTGGCACTGTAAAAGAAGAGGTAAGTACCACTTTAAAGCACTAGATCCAGAGTTTGGTACTGTAAAAGAAGAGGTAAGTACCACTTTAAAGCACTAGATCCAGAGTTTGGCACTGTAAAAGAAGAGGTAAGTACCACTTTAAAGCACTAGATCCAGAGTTTGGCACTGTAAAAGAAGAGGTAAGTACCACTTTAAAGCACTAGATCCAGAGTTTGGTACTGTAAAAGAAGAGGTATTTTCTGTTTGTGTAATGCTCATAATTAAAATAAAAAGATGTTCAATGTGTAATATATATTGCTCTGAAATGTGTTCTTGATGAGTTTTTGTAGCTAATTTAGGAATTTTCTCCTGAACATATCTTGTCAGTTTGCCTTTTAAGTTTACCCTCTAACCCCCCTATCACACCAAACTAGTTCTTACCCGTTCTTGCCAGTCCTACGAAAACGTCGTAAAACAGGCTCAATCTGGCTGTGGTCGGGAAATATGTCTGAAATAATTAGCTTCTTCGTTCTTAAACAGTCTTCAATACGTCCATCTCGTAAGTTCGTAAGTTCGTAAATAGCTATATTTTTGCTAACTCGTTCATAAGCAGTGTTAAATACGTTCTTAATCAGTTTAAACCCGTTTGCAATTAGTTCTACCTCGTTCTAAACACGTCCGCAGACAGTTCTACTTGTTGTTAAAACGTCCCTAGTAGGATTGAAGTACGACGGTTCCGTTCGTAGTACGTCCAGCTCGTTGTTAGTACGTTTTCACTCGTTCTAATTGTAGAACGTGACGACCACGAGAATATTTTGAGCATTGTCTGAGTTCTAGAGGACCTACCCGTTCGAGTACGTTTGATGAAGTTTGTAAATAGATCCCAAACGGTTCTCAGTAGGTCCAGTCCGTTCGTACACAGTTGAAGCCCGTTTTCGAGAACGTAGTGAGAACTAGTGTGGTGTGATAGTAGGGTTAATTTACATCTTGTGTTCTCAAGTGTTTACCCTTTGAATTATCTTAACATGTTTACCATCCATCTTCCAGATGGATCAAGATGATGACATCATACCAGGATGGGAAGGCAAGATAGTGGCATGGATAGAGGAGGATCATGGGTAATGCTATGAATTATGGGACTGAACCAGACGAATGATGGGAATACCATCAATACTACTCCAAATAAAGACATCATGAAAATATGTGATATCTTCACTTCAATGGTGAAAAGGTAGCTGTGAAAAATACATTGCAATATATAAATGAATGATACAAATACAGGATAACTGGGAACTGGAAATTGACTTAGCAAAATGATAATATAAATTAATCTCATAGGTAAACAGGAAATGTATTGCCAATTGTTCATTTACAAAACATCAGTGGTGAACTGTTTGGAACACTTCAGCCTTGATTAGCCATAGCGGTGTTGAGGAAAAGGCGAAGATGAGGAACAGGTGGTTGCATGACAATTGTGTAGTGGTTGAATGACAATTGTGTAGTGGTTGAATGACAATTTATTCAAAATTATTGTATGCTTTGAGTGGTTATGTATGGCATAATGCATGTATAATGTGAAGGAATTGAACATGTTTGTAACCATTTATAATATTACTCTGCTATAATAGTACTCAACGAAACATGTTGGATTTGTGTAAAATGAAAATGTCAACTATACTATTCATGATTTTACTGTTACCTTTGTAGTACTTTTGTGCCAATTTTGCCAACTCAAAACTACAATACTGTATGCATTTATTTTATTATTTTGTCTTCCAAAACTACATTGGAGAATTGAAACATTTTGCTGTAAAATGTTATTCCATATTTTTTTCATACTAACGTTAAACATTCCTATTTCCTTTCATGTATTCCAGTTTTATATTTTCCATACATTCCAAATTTGGTCAGGTATAAGATATCAGTACATATATGGACATAATCTCAGTCTGAGCTGGCTATTCAATCTGTTATGGGCATTTTGCTTACATTATTCATCTTTTTAGGATGATGTTATCAATTAATTAATTATCGTGTATCTATTCTTCTGACTTATTTCTGTGATGTTTAAGTTGGAAGTTTATTAGAAATGGTCTGAGTCAGGGTGTGACATGAGCTATGGATGGCCCAGAGTGTAGCAAAATAGCATATCAGTTTGTATGAAATTCAATTTTCACCAGAAACTCTCATGTTATTTTATGATACCCTGTTCTCAAGACGTGAAACATCAGTCATTGAAGTTTCCAAGACTTTGTGGAGTCTTGTATCATTTGTTGAATATTCAGTACATTCACTTATTGTATGTACCTGTTTCAACAAGGCTGCTTATTATGCAGCTTAAACAGTGACACTGATAGAATATTATTATTTATCAATATTATAGTCATATAAATCCGTCCTAAGTTTATATCATGTTATAGATATATTAAGTAATTCCAAGGTCTGTATTAATACTTTTGTCATTTTGGCATTTTTTATAGTACACTTTTATTTAAGGCGATACATAATCGGTTACTAATCGCCATGTAGGCATCATTTTGCCACTGCTTTGATATTAGACTATAACTTATGAGTAGAAATTGGCTTTCTTTTATCTGTTGCTTTGAACTCAAAATCACCCTGTGTTCACATACACCTTTTTATTCATCAATTTACAACTTATTTGTTCATTGAGGAAAAGTAAAAAGTAGCCGAAACTCTAAAATACAACTTTGCCAAAAATGGTTACATTTGAATTATTCATAGATGTTATTGGAATTGATCGGAATGTTTTTCCAATTATAAGTGCAGGATTTTTATTTATGAGCTGAAAAATAAATGTTATAAATCAAACATGACTGTTTTATTCACTTTATATAAGCTGTTCCAGGGATTATGAATCTTGTATTTTCATGTCACCACTTGGGACATATTGTGACGTTACCTTATTTTGCCATTCACTTTAATTGCCTTTGGCATTGTCTCATTATTTGATGGACTCTTTAATTAAGAATGCTGAATTAATAATGGATATCACTGGCCCCCACCTGGTTATAAAGACTTTCTAGCAAAATTTTTACTTTCATCATTTTCGCCAACAAAGAGATTGCTTTTTATCTAAATATTTTACCTGTATAAATACAAATTTTCTCCAACAGAAGTTCATCCATTTTGTAATAAACACATACATAACATGGTTATTATCAGGTGGGAACCAGTCCATATGTATCAAAAACTTAAGAACAGAATAGAAGATTTCCTTTTAGTCCACTTTATTGCTCTACATAAATAAATATATGATATCATAGCTATTTATAGCTAACAACTTATGGCAAACATCTCAATTCTTACAACTATCATAGTATCATTAGCTGCAAGTCAACAACCCACTGGTAACAGATATTCAGATAATGTCCTCATCAGATACAACAAAACTGTCTGTCAGAAGAGTCCTTCAGTTGGAGGTCCCTCAATTTGTTTTTATAGCTTTTAAACCTAATTTTGAGGTCCTTTTCATCTATTTATTATAAACTTGTCATTAAGTGAAGTTTTATTTTATATCTTGCACATGACTGTGATGCAATAAACAGTTAATGAAAACACAATAAAATTCAATATACCTTACTTAATTTGTGGCATTTGTGAATAATACACCTGTATTAATAGAAATACATGTACTCCTACAGTAACTCCTCAAATAAGTGAGATAAACATTGATTTCATTTTATCTGAGAAAACATACCAATAGTACCCACTTTTTAAATATTATTTACAAGACATTCAGAGCTATTGAGCCACATGTTTTCAGCACACATGATTAGTTTGACATCTATACTGTACAAATAAATGATATTTCATTTCTTATCACACACTTTAGAATAGAGGATTTTGGATGAAAACCTGTAAATATGTCGCTCCTTGTTGATGATCAGGATTTTACTCTCAAATCAAGAATTAATGACTTAAAATGTAAAGTAGAAATCTTAGAAAACTTAAAGCATGTCATGAGTAATTTATTACAGTGTAAAATGGCTGAATCCTGGCGAGTCCTTAATTGATGCATTGGAGTAAATGAGACATAATGAGCCATTTTGTCTAAATTATCCCAATTTCAAGAAATTAACATTCACTTATTTTCTAAAAATCACAAGAACTCCAACCTTATTCAAGGTAAATCTATGATTTTAACATTTGTGTTCAATTTTATGAACTCTGAATATATATTGGAAAATGTTCAATTAATTGGAGTAACTATCCATCAAAAACAGTAATTGCTTTTAAAAGTACATACACTTTGCAATAATTTGTTCTGGGCAATATGAGATTCTAGCTAGGTTTGACTAGAACACCCATGGTTTGAGAAACATGAATAAATTAATGAAAACCTATGACTTTCATTCTTAACTTTCATTAAAGGAAAGTTCAAAGGATGAAGTTCACAAACAGAAAAGATGAAACAAGGCATTAACATGACAAAATGTCACCACCTAAAGGTCAATTTGAAGCAAGTTGAAAACAGACCTTTTTGACCTTTTTTGACCTTGAGAAGGTCATTAAAGGTGAAATGTCAAATCTAGAGTCAGATTTGAATTTCTGAGAACATGTAGATGATTTTGAAAAAAAAAATTAGTCAATTTGAAGCAAGTTGAAAAAAGACCTTTTTGACCTTGAGAAGGTCATTGAAGGTAAAATGTCAAATCTAAAGTCATATTTGAATTTCTGAGAACATGTAGATGATTTTGAAAAAAAAATTTAGTCAATTTGAAGCAAGATGAAAAAATACCTTTTTGACCTTTTTTGACATTGAGAAGGTCATTGAAGGTCAAATGTCAAATCTAAAGTCAGATTTGAATTTTTGAGAACATGTAGATGATTTTGAAAAAAAAATTTAGTCAATTTGAAGCAAGTTGAAAAAAGACCTTTTTGACCTTTTTTGACTTTGAGAAGGTCATTGAAGGTCAAATGTCAAATCTTAAGTCAAATCTAAAGTCAGATTTGAATTTCTGAGAACACGTAGATGATTTTGAAAAAAAAATTTAGTCAATTTGAAGCAAGTTGAAAACATACCTTTTTGACCTTTTTTGACCTTGAGAAGGTCATTGAAGGTCAAATGTCAAATCTTAAGTCAGATTTGAATTTCTGAGAACACGTAGATGATTTTGAAAAAAAAATTTAGTCAATTTGAAGCAAGTTGAAAACAGACCTTTTTGACCTTTTTTGACCTTGAGAAGGTCATTGAAGGTCAAATGTCAAATCTAAAGTCAGATTTGAAGGTCAAATGTCAAATCTAAAGTCAAATCTAAAGTCAGATTTGAATTTCTGAGAACATGTAGATGATTTTGAAAAAAATTTAGTCAATGTGAAGCAAGTTGAAAAAAGACCTTTTTGACCTTGAGAAGGTCATTGAAGGTCAAATGTCAAATCTAAAGTCAGATTTGAACTTCTGAGAACATGTAGATGATTTAGAAAAAAATTGAAGTCAGTCTAAACAGTATTTGTAAAGTTATAGGAAGTTGTAAGAAATTGTTACAGACGCCGGACGCCAACCACCAACCACCAACCGCCGTCACAAAAAAACGGAGACCATAACAATATGTCACCACTTTTGGTGGTGACATAATAACAAAATGCGCTAAATCAATAGTGCAGCTTCATAACAAATGCAAGGCTTATAACAACATCTACATCATACTAATGTTACACAATGTAACTGAGGTTATTTTGGCATTTTAATTTGGCAAATGTAATATAGACTTATACGGTGAAGTATTAATTTGTGTATGTTAATTCAAAAAATTAAAATCAAAGAGTGTCAAAAGTAAATCAGTTACACCACATGATTATTTAAATAAATCCGAGACAAGCTCTAGGAAAGCTCCAAAAACAAAACATGATAAATCTGACAATTTAATATACCAACGGAAAGTCAAGTTTTGATCATAGTTTGCCTTTAGATCTCTATTCTTCTGAGAAAAGTAAAATATATAATTGTTGTTCTATACTAGTAATAACAACTTAACAAATATCTAAAAATTTATTTTAACCCATTTTTGATCATACTTTCTATCTTCTATATGTATAGAGCACATATGAGTTAAAATAGTTAAGACAAAAATCAAGCCTACACCATACTCGGCCCACACAAAATATAATTATTTATAGCATGATCACCCTTACTTGAATCTTAATGTATGTTTTATATACAGGGCGTCCATACACTTCACACAGACTGTATTATAATTAAAAGAGACAAAATGGACACCCTGTATATATCCTCAATCAATTAGCATACACACATCATGTTTTATCCACCAATATTAGGGTTTTCATATACAGTATGTACATTTTAAATGCTCTACACATTTCAGCTGCCATTTGTGCTACCTTCTATAGCAATACTATACCTATCTATAGCCGGGTCTCCGTATAATACAAGATCATTCACGTAATCATTTTTATATGTACTAAATATCGTAGAAGTCCATAAAGTTTACAAATTGGCAATAATTCTTAGGAAAATTTGAGTTTTGGCAATGAATGCTTTTGATTTACTCCATTGATATTATTGCTCATTTGATTAATTTTAATACCATATATTGTACAAATCTTTATAACAACATTTTTTAAAACCTATGAGGCAATCAACACCTCATTAAAAATGCAATATTGATATTGATAAGTCGATCAGTTTGTTTTTATAAGCCATTTCTTGAACTAGAAAAACAGCATCTCCCCGGAGAAGCAAATCCCATCGAACAAAACATTTTATCAAATCACTCGTCATTTTGAACATCTCAAGATATACTCGTAAATAATTGACCAGTAGTACTGTCTCCTTTTGGTAATCTTACACCCTGGATGTATATGACACAAAATTATTTTGGAAAGAGGAACTATGCCCAATTCTGAAAAAGCCATTTCAAATTCATTGGCCAAATAAGAAAGTTCTTCTTGAACAGAGGTACAATGTCCCCGAGGCACCATAATACAAATTCTGAGCCAATTCCATCACCTCGTATTGAGATTTTCAATTTTTGAATCGAGCTGCCATATTGGAAATTCCTTCTTGAATAGAGGTTCTACACCCATGGCCATAAAGCTGTACCTATACAATTATCTTTGTTCTGACCATCGATATTTGACCTACTGCCCAGACGCTACCGCCCAGACAGAAGAATGAAAGAATCAGACAGACAGACATACAACTTCTCTTTATCCCTACCAATCTTCATTCAGTGGGATAATCAATTGTGCAGTCCAATACACCTGAGTAAGCAAACACCTCACATAAGTGAACACCTTTCTAGGGTGAAAGTGAACACCTTTCTAAAGTAAACACCTTTTGGTAACAATGTATTTCCAAATTCTACTACCATTACAGGCAGGGCCCTGAAATATGAACATTTCAACCAATTACTTAAGTATATCGGTTCTCACAATAGACAAGTTTAAGTGTCAAACTGAACTGTTTCTGCTCCTAGACATATCTTATTCTTCAATATGAGATATTTCTAGCTATAAATACAATTGCCTCATACCATACTACATAATTTCCAAATCTTTCCATATTTATCCAATGTCATTTTCAACATACTTTTCCTTTATAGACTCTAAATTGTTCAGGTGAATATTGTTCAATATATTCAGCAATTTGAGTATATACACGATCTGGTACGTCTCTCTTTGCGTTAATACTCCCTTCAAATGCTGGTTAAAATCTGGTTCCACATCTCGGAGAAATATGAAGCACCCTTGTTGGATCTGGGGTGTAGGACCTCCTGTATTAGTGCCCCTGGGAAAGGATTCGATGTGCTACTGCTGCGACCAGCGCTGAACCTTTCCCATGACGGTCTCCTTGTTTGATAGTAAACTGAAATCATAATTTAGGAAAATAAAAACAATGAAAGATTATGAATGATTTACACAATGTACTGTTTTGGTATATTATAATTATATTTGACAGTATTCAACTGGCTCACAAATACAAACAATAATCAACAAAAATAAAAATAAATAAGTCATTTACATTTGTTACATTTAGGGCCTCATGCAATCGAGGATGATTATTGAGCATTTCTACATATTAAAACTTCTAAATTCACTGTTGATACTAGAGTATGATGTTAAAGTAGTGTACCCCTGAATCTCTATTCAATCAAGTATTGATATTCAATCAGTTATGTAACTCTTCTGACATTTCAAGCAAAATTATATTACCAACAAAATTAGATTACATAACAAAACTAGATTTCAAAACAAAATAAGATTACATAACAAAAATTACAACATAATTCCTGGTAAAATACATGGCTAAAAACCTAATGATAATAGTATAAAGAAAAGACAAAATGGATAGTTATGTTAGATATATGTTTTAATACATGTTGCTACCTCACACATTACCACACTGGTGAAACAGAAAAACTATTCTCAAAAGTTCTTCAACATACTTGTTACAAAAGAATTCATTTTATTCAATAAGCTTTAGAGTGTCTGGTAGTGTTTTATTGTTTATGTGTACAAAATAGCTGTAATACCAAAAAGAAATATAATCATATTAGTGGAGGTATAGATGACATGATGGTTTCTATTTTTTGTTCTACTCAATGATGAAATTATTATGACACATAATTAGTCAGACATAGATAGTAGCATCCATCACACAAGAAGATCACCAATCTGTACATTTCATGTTTGATTATAAACACGGAAATATACACGAGAAGCAGCGAAAAGTGTCACCCGTTTACTGTACATTTGATGTTGAAATATATATGAATAAATAAACAAATAAAAAAAGAAATGTAAATATGGTTATGCTTCAATATTGCAAGAACCAAACTATTTCACATATTCCAAGCATATTCTGCTTAATGCCATTCAAACATGAAGGTAGAATCGTTATCGACTTGTTCTAGGTATTTTCATTCCAATTCTGCATGATCACTGGTGATCCACTCGATTACGCTGGTTACTGAAACGGTTCGTTTTGGTAACAAAATGTCGGAATGTCGAGGTACAATTTTTCTCTTTTCCTTATTTCACACGTTGTAGGCAGAATTCCCGCGACATTTTTTAACACAAACGTGTATCAGTATCATATGTTTAAGAAAATGTACATATGTGCGAACAAATAGTTCAGAAGACAACAGAATCGTCGATTTAATTCTTAACTTAAGTTACATAAACGGTTTTTCGAAAAACATTTAAGATCTGCACTTTTAACCAAAACCGTTTATGTAACTAAAGTGAGGAATTAAATCGACGATTCTGTTGTCTTCTGAGCTATTTTTTTGCTAACATGAACATTTTCTAAAACATATGATACTGATATACGTTTGTGAGAAAAAACGTCATGGGGATTCTGTCTACAACGCGTGAAATGCGTGAAATAAGGAAAAAAGAAAAATCGTACCTTCGACGTTCCGACATTTAACATAATCGAGTGGATCACCAGTGATAATGTTAAAATGTTAATAAAAACAGCTTTTTAACTGTAGACAGTGCCATCTATTAAGTGAATAAAGACACATTAGTGCAACTCTATTGTTACAAAAAGTGATGCTAATAAAGTGCTACAGTGTATCAAATTTAAAAGTCAGTTTTATTTGTGTAAACACTTACAACTCCCTGAGAATAACTGCACAAAACTTTTACAATTATAAAGGTTTTGTTGCTACTGCAGCCACTAGTGCTGCCCCCTTTGCAAGACCCTCTGGATTAAGCTTAAGTTTAACCTAGTATATCAATGCATGCAAATTAATTCATTATAATTGTATAAAAGTGATATTAAATGTTCACTAGCTAACATGCACTAACTTAAGTTTAAGATGTAAAATGCCAACATTCAAATTATTAAACAACCAAGGTTCATGGAATGTATATCAAGCAAATTTTGGCGCCATTTCTTTATCATGGCTATTTTCTTATATGCTACATGTTTCAAACCATGATTTTGAGATATTTCAAATGGTAAGTATGACATTAGTTGATTAATTGTAATTATTACTATTGACCTTTTTTATCCACTCAATGACAAATACTACATGAACATTAACAACTCAAATCACCAAAATACTACATACCAGTATGTCTGTATTTACAAGTTGATTTATTTTGTCCATCATTCTGTCGTGAAACTTGGGATGGAACCTGTACAGAGGTCCATCCACTGCTATTGTGACTTCAGCTTGCCCAATACGATTTAATAACACAGCTAGGGCTGAAATTATAGACATAGACGCTGTTCATAGAATAATGCACCATTTGAATATTTGTCTATTGTATTAATTACAAACTGCTTCCTTTTTACTCCCCTCCCTCAAATGAAATAAACTGCCAATTAAGTTGATTACATTTCAAATGAAAAAAAAAGTTTTTTGGCAATTGGACAGAAAATCTAGTTCTGGACTGTGAGATATAAAAAATTCCAGTCAGCTATTAACCAATTAGATCACAGGATTCAAACCGTGTGTGAAATAATATAAAATACTAACCTGCAGAGATAAGGTAAGCTGCACGTGTTGAGACCACAGAGCAGACATACTGCACATGTGCGCAATCTTCAGATGTGACGTCATCCAGACCTACTTCATGGAGAACCATACGTGTAATTCGATAATCTTCCTTCATTTTTGTGTCACTGCAAGGAAGACACAGAACTTATAGAATAACTGTATGTATTATGGTTACAGAAATTTTGGAACAAGGCATTAAAATGACAAAATGACACCAACGGGGTATGTTACAATTGGTGATAAAAGTGTAACAGTTAGTTACAGACATTTCTTGGTGATGACATAAAATCATGAAACAACTTCAAATCAAATGGGAACTATGGTAGAATCTGTGGAAGTGGAAAGCCCTTTGGACCATAGAAAAGTGTTCCACTTGCGAGGTGTTCCACTTACAAAGGTCCATTAACATAGAGTCATAAGGCCGTGTTCCACTTGCAAGGTGTTCCACTTATAGAGGTTCATTAACATAAGAGTCAATGGGCTGAGGTACTCTAAAAATCTGTTCTACTTGTGAGGTGTTCCACTAAGAAGTTTCTACTGTAGTATAGACCAAACACATCAACCTATTCATTTCAATGTGTCATAATTTTTGATCTTTCTTTTTGGACAACCCGCTTACTCTCTGTACATTTTGCTTACCCTTCGATCTCCGATAGATATTTTGTGTGGAATTTGTTGGCAGTAAGCAATTCTTCTGAGACAGCTCCATTAAAAAGGAGTTTTTCATTGACAAGTCGCATCATTATTAGACGAACTATTTCTCCGAGGTGCTCTCCCGATATCATCTTCTCGAATCTGAAACAAGGATAAATTTCCATATTATCTCACTTCTCAGTATAATTAGTGAACAAAAGGATATATGTACATGTAAATATAATTCTGTTATTACAAAGAGTGAAAACTGATGTCTCGCAGGTATTAATTCTATTATCATTATAACATTCCTTCATTTTGTTAAAGTCATATGCTGTTCTTTCCCGAAAAATTTGGTAATGGGGAGAGATGACGTCAATGTATAGATATTCAAACTTTCTCATACAATACAAGTACATTGTATATTGAAATAATTCCTTTTAATTGACAAGTCCAAGGCTCAATTAAAACCAATTCCCTCCTAAATGTAGATTTAATTTTATGCATGTATTTGCATAGTTTGTAATTCACTAATGAGCCATGCTGAGGTACTTTTTTCAATAAAAAATACATTTATAAACTTACATTTGGTGTCCAGGGTTGCTTGAGTTTAGATCTAATTCTTTATCAAAGCCTGTTCTGAACTGATCTATAACACCATTGCTGCCAAATGCTCCCCATTCTGTATTAACTATCACCTAAAATATAAGGAACATTTTAGCCTGTTCTGAATTGATCTATAACACCATTGCTGCCAAATGCTCCCCATTCTGTATTAACTATCACCTAAAATATAAGGAACATTTTAGCCTGTTCTGAATTGATCTATAACACCATTGCTGCCAAATGCTCCCCATTCTGTATTAACTATCACCTAAAACATAAGAAACATTCTAGCCTGTTCTGAACTGATCTATAACACCATTGCTGCCAAATGCTCCCCACTCTGTGTTAACTATCACCTAAAACATAAGGAACATTTTAGCCTGTTCTGAACTGATCTATAACACCATTGCTGCCAAATGCTCCCCATTCTGTATTAACTATCACCTAAAACATAAGGAACATTTTAGCCTGTTCTGAACTGATCTATAACACCATTGCTGCCAAATGCTCCCCATTCTGTATTAACTATCACCTAAAACATAAGGAACATTTTAGCCTGTTCTGAACTGATCTATAACACCATTGCTGCCAAATGCTCCCCATTCTGTATTAACTATCACCTAAAACATAAGAAACATTTTAGCCTGTTCTGAACTGATCTATAACACCATTGCTGCCAAATGCTCCCCACTCTGTATTAACTATCACCTAAAACATAAGAAACATTTTAGCCTGTTCTGAACTGATCTATAACACCATTGCTGCCAAATGCTCCCCACTCTGTATTAACTATCACCTAAAACATAAGAAACATTTTAGCCTGTTCTGAACTGATCTATAACACCATTGCTGCCAAATGCTCCCCACTCTGTATTAACTATCACCTAAAACATAAAAACATTTTAGCCTGTTCTGAACTGATCTATAACACCATTGCTGCCAAATGCTCCCCATTCTGTATTAACTATCACCTAAAACATAAAAACATTTTAGCCTGTTCTGAACTGATCTATAACACCATTGCTGCCAAATGCTCCCCATTCTGTATTAACTATCACCTAAAATATAAGAAACATTCTAGCCTGTTCTGAACTGATCTATAACACCATTGCTGCCAAATGCTCCCCACTCTGTATTAACTATCACCTAAAACATAAGAAACATTCTAGCCTGTTCTGAACTGATCTATAACACCATTGCTGCCAAATGCTCCCCACTCTGTATTAACTATCACCTAGAACATAAAACAACAACATTTTACATGGGCATACAGCCTGTTCTGAATTGATCTATAACACCATTGCTGCCAAATGCTCCCCACTCTGTATTAACTATCACCTAGAACATAAAACAACAACATTTTACATGGGCATACAGCCTGTTCTGAATTGATCTATAACACCATTGCTGCCAAATGCTCCCCACTCTGTATTAACTATCACCTAAAATATAAGAAACAAGATTTTACATGTGTTGGAGAGATCAGAACTTGATGCGAAATTCTCAATTTTGAAATACTTTTGAGAATGAATTCTGAGGAATAAGTACATGAACATTTTTATGTACAAGTTGATAGAACAATGCTACACTCTAATTTTAGCCGAAGAATAACTTTTTCAATTTCTATGGAATTATGTTTACCAGTATTTCACCAACTAAACACTATCAAGAGAGAAACGTTCAAAAAGATTCCATCACAATTTTTCGATTTCTATGATATTATGTTTACCACTGTTTCACCGACTAAACACTATCAAATGAGAAAAGTTCAAAAAGATTCCATCACAATTAAGGGGCTGCATTTTTGTGTCACCCTTTATATTCTCCTTTTACATGCTGGTTGTATTTATAATAACCTATCCATGTCTACTCACAGTTTTGGGTTCATTGTGGTCCCCCTCCCAACACTGTACATTCTCCAACTTCTCTAAGTAGCAAGCATTGATACCTTTACCTAAAGAACACAATCCATTCAATATACTATATAAAGAACAGTCTCTGCAAAATATACAAATTAATGAACAATACATAAGTTTAAAAACTCGAGTGGGGAGGGGGTATTAAACAGGGTTCCAGATCAATACATAACTGTAAAAACTTCAGTGGGGAGGGGGTATTAAATATTGTTTCTTTTCATGATGGATTATTCTTTGGGAAAGACAGGGTTTGTTTTCATTATGACTGGTGTACACTTAGATCTTTTACTTTTCTTGCTGGGTTTTGACACACAATTCAGTCCTTTTCCTTTGGCATAATGTGCCTACATATCGAGTCAAACAGCTTTTCAGGTAATAACAAATATTTTTGACAACATTATCATTCTGCTCTTCATTTTTTACTTCACAAAATGACAACCATGATATTGATTTCCCATGTTGTGGAATTCTGGGTACTTACTAAGTATTAAGCCAATGAGACAGTTCTTATCTGCATGGGCACAAGACATCTGGGTAGCTACAGTATCATTCATTATGGCAACCACTTTCACACGTATACCCTGGAAATATTAAGTGATGCTCATCTTGCAGAATTGTAAAAATTAAATGGAAAACTCATCAAAAATGTCAAAAAATAAGATTCAAGTCATAAGAAGCTTGAACCATATAAATGTGCTCAAAATGTATAGGAACTCATATAGGGACTTAAAATCCATCCTGGATTACAAGTTGAATCACCCACCTGTAGTTTGTTTAGAGATTGTTGTAGAAGAGAGACAACATCTTCCCCCACGACCCCACTGCACTGGAAGCCCTTCCCCCAAGCCAGCAGGGTGGCAGAGGCAAGACCCGTCTTCCGTACACGGAATGGGAACATAAACCCTAACGGAAGCTCACCCTCTGGAATACCTCGATCTTTCACAAACTTCTCTATGCAAGTTGCTACATGGTCAAATAGCTGCAATATAAATCGTAAAATTGTCAAATGACTGCAATATAAATTGTATCATTGTCAAATAGCTGCAATATAAATTGTATCATTGTCAGATAGCTGCAATATAAATTGTAGAATTGTCAAATAACTGCAATATAAATTGTAGAATTGTCAAATAACTGCAATATAAATCGTAAAATTGTCAAATGACTGCAATATAAATTGTATCATTGTCAGATAGCTGCAATATAAATTGTAGAAATGTCAAATGACTGCAATATAAATTGTAGAATTGTCAAATGACTGCAATATAAATTGTATCATTGTCAGATAGCTGCAATATAAATTGTAGAATTGTTAAATAGCTGCAATTTAAAATCTAGCATTGTCAAAAAGTTGCAATATAAATTGTAGAATTGTCAAATAGCTGCAATATATGGAGTGTACAATTGTGAAATAACTGCAATATACAAAGTAATATTGTCAAATACCTGCAATGTAACTATGTGGTCAAACAGCTTCAATATATGAAGTAGCAGGGGGTAAACTCGAATGTGAATACTAGCCACTTACTTGCATGTACAACCTGCCCAAAAAGTTGCTGGAGTGCATTTTTTCAAACTTGAGTTATCTTACATATGCACAGTCTAAGTTTTCACTGAAATAAGAAAACATGTCTAACCTAAGACATTCTGGTACTCAGCACATCTTAATAGAATGGGTCTGTCCACATATTTGGCAACAACAGTAGGCAAAATAATTACCAATAGCTTACACTGAGCTTGACATGTGTTAGCCTTGTGATAGTTTAATCATGTATTCTCATGGCTCTAAAAGAATGATATCATTAACATGTGGACATCACTCTCCTTGTGCACTAAGGGAACGTAAAAGTTAACAAAAATACAAATGTTCAAAATTATTACAAGAATAGGTGTCCTCTTTGTCATTCTATTGATACACACTACAAAAATATGCAATGGGATAGTAGTGGACCCAATAGCTCTTAGTATACATATTTGCAGCTACAGAGGCTGTCTGCAAGGTAAGTTTTTATTTCTTAAATGTTCTCCGTATAACTATTTTTTAATATCTTCATAACCTACTATCATGACCAGAAAAGCCAATTGTTTCTGTTTTTATCAGGATGTGTACACAGAATCTTCATTTTTTACAAAATCTGAAATACCCTAGTTTCTGATTCTTTAGATTCAGCCGTTTTCCAGGAAATGAATATTCTGAATTTCCTGTTTTCTGATATTGCAGATTCAACAGATTGGTCAAATTTTTATTTTCTACTGTTATTTTGCAATTAACAAAACAGATCTGAACATAAACTATCAAATGAGTTATATTTCTTAATAAGTTCATTACAAGGCATTAACATGCAAAATGTCACCATATTGAACTATACTGAACACTGTTCACAAAAATTTGGAGACTATAACAATACAGGGTGATCACTAAGTTCTGGGAATTTATCTGTCATTTCATTATTTTTAAACCAATTTACTTGAAATTTTCAAGGTAAATGGGGAATGTAATTTTGGGTTGGATAAAACAGTCTCATTGTCATCTGATGTCACAATGGATAATTATTGTTACTATAGCAACATGACAAATGGCGTAGCGGGTCAAGTAAAATAAAAATAAATTCAAATTTTGCTTGATCCAAAAGTATGATTAATAAATACTTATTTGGTGGACATATTTCTGTGATTTTTCATATTTTTCATATTTTCAAATACTTCTTACTTTAGTTTCTAAAGTTACATCTGTATTGTTATATAAGACTGTACTTTGCTCTATTTTTGTATCATCCATCAGCATCTCAAAGTCACAATCGTGACTCAAAATAGCGGGGAATTATCTTCCATTATGACTATGCTCCTTCCCATAACTCAAGCTGCCCATACTACTCTTGAAGAATTAGGGTTCACACAAGTTATTACTGCCCCATATTCACCAGACAATATTCACCACATGGAGCACCATTAGGCTTCACTACATTTTGGGTGCTAAAGCATTATATGAGAGGTCATAAGTTTGATTCCGATGAGGGACTGATTTCAACGGCTTGGGCAAATCTTCAAAGGATACCAAAGGGAGGACTGGAACACAACTTTATGGACTAAGTTTGTCAACAACGCATGTGCGTCCAGGCTAATGGAAACAATTATAAATGAAATGATCCTCTCAGCAATGAAGAATACTTCTGAATAAATGACTTCAAGAGTACTGTTCTGCCTCTAGTACAAGTAGTTTGAAGCAACCATCTGGGCAAGTTGAATATGTTTTGGCAGGAAATTTTCAGATTAACATCAGTCAAAATTTGCTGACCCACTTACCACTTTTACTTTTTTTGTAATTACAATAAAATAAATTGTAGATGTGATATGTATATGAAACATTGCTTGTCAATTCAGAATTATACAATGTACACCTGCTGAAAATTTCAACTCAAATGGTTGAGAAATCTTGAAATGGCAGACCAATTCCCAGAACTTAATGATCACCCTGTATCTCTACACTTGTTGTGGTGACATAAAAAGTTCATTTTTAAATCATTGCTTTAAAATATTACCATATATATTCCAACTCTAGCATATCTGTTAGCATGAACTAATCTCATGCAAATTCAGCTTTTATTAAGTTGTACTAAACCAAGACTTAATCGATGAAAATCATGATTGAGAAAAAACAGTTAGTTTAGTTACACAAGATATATTTGTAAAAGACCTGGTACATAGAAGCAGTGATCTCCCCAGGATTTTTTCTCAGGTAGGTGCAAAATTCCCATTTTCACAATTCAGACCCAAATTTGTCAAAATATGCCAATTTTTCATGATTTTCTCATTTTCAAGTCGGTGCAAATGGATTTCCATAGCCTTTTTTCAAAATCTCAGGTGGGTGCTACACCAACTTGCTTTAATGCTGGAGAGATCACTGAGAAGTGATTACTGTATATTGTTTTCATTTGGTGCCACTTTAATTTGGAGATTACTAGTTACATTGTACTCCTCATGTCTCGTTATCTAGGCTTTTAAAACTTATAGTCATCCCTTCCAAATTGATAATCATGACAATAAAAGCATCAGTAATAAGTAAACAATGTTTTGAAATTTTCATAATATCAAAGAATTCATTGTTTTCTATATAATTTAGTGAATGGTTGCTGATGCTGATTTAGAAATCCTTCAACATATAACAGGATGGGAGAATCCATTGACATTGAGTTATAGAGCCATATCTTAAAAATAACAAAATTTCAGTCACTTTGCATTCATCCATCAGCTGTTAGTCTAAATGCGTTCACCTCATAAGGGTCATAGAGAGGACATACAAATACATATCATAGATTTTATCATGTTTTATCCATGTACATGTTAATTTCATTGCATTTGTACCAGATATCGGACAAGTCAACTATTACAATACACTGAGATAACTCCCTAGTACTTCAAGCATACTTCAACTTGGTTTGAATTACCTAAATGATAAGCTCAAAAGATATTAGCACAAGTGGTTAAAATCAAATTCGCTTTTGATGGTTTATCTGTTTCTCAGGTAGTTTTTTTCATAGATCTTCGTCACTTCGAATCTTTAGATCAAAATCTTTGCCACCTGTGCTAAAACACCCTGAACCACTTATAGCCCAACAATCTTATCTTGCATGAACTGGGGATTAAACCTGAGCCACTGCAGTATTAGTGAACTGTTCTACCCATGAATTATTCAAAAGGACATGATATACTGAGGTATAAGGAAGGCTAACATACCTGCTTTCCATTGCCTGTCATGATATACTGTGGTATAAGGAAGGCTTACATACCTGCTATCCCTTGCCTGTCATGATATACTGGGGAATAAGGAGGGCTAACATACCTGCTCTCCCTTGCCTCTCATGATATACTGGGGTATAAGGAAGGCTAACATACCTGCTTTCCCTTGCCTGTCATGATATACTGGGGTATAAGGAAGGCTAAAACACCCGCTCTCCCTTGCCTGTCATGATATACTGGGGTATAAGGAAGGCTAATATACCTGCTCTCCCTTGCCTGTCATGATATACTGGGGTATAAGGAAGGCTAACATACCTGCTCTCCCTTGCCTGTTATGATATACTAGGGTATAAGGAAGGCTAACATACCTGCTCTCTCTTGCCTGTTATGATATACTGGGGTATTAGGAAGGATAACATACCTGCTCTCCCTTGCCTGTTATGATATACTAGGGTATAAGGAAGGCTAAAACACCCACTCTCCCTTGCCTGTCATGATATACTGGGGTATAAGGAAGGCTAACATACCTGCTCTCCCTTGCCTGTCATGATATACTGGGGTATAAGGAAGGCTAACATACCTGTGCTCCCTTGCCTGTCATGATATACTGGGGTATAAGGAAGGCTAACATACCTGCTCTCCCTTGCCTGTCATGATATACTGGGGTATAAGGAAGGCTAACAAACCTGCTCTCCCTTGCCTGTCATGATATACTGGAGAATAAGGAAGGCTAACATACCTGCTCTCCCTTGCCTGTCATGATATACTGGGGTATAAGGAAGGCTAACATACCTGCTTTCCCTTGCCTGTCATGATATACTGGGGTATAAGGAAGGCTAACATACCTGCTCTCTCTTGCCTGTCATGATATACTGGGGTATAAGGAAGGCTAACATACCTGCTCTCCCCTGCCTGTTATGATATACTGGGGTATAAGGAAGGCTAACATACCTGCTCTCTCTTGCCTGTCATGATATACTGGGGTATAAGGAAGGCTAACACACCTGCTCTCCCTTGCCTGTCATGATATACTGGGGTATAAGGAAGGCTAACATACCTGCTTTCCCTTGCCTGTTATGATATACTGGGGTATAAGGAAGGCTAACATACCTGCTCTCTCTTGCCTGTTATGATATACTGGGGTATTAGGAAGGATAACATACCTGCTCTCCCTTGCCTGTCATGATATACTGGGGTATAAGGAAGGCTAACATTATGCTCTCCCTTGCCTGTCATGATATACTGGAGAATAAGGAAGGCTAACATACCTGCTCTCCCTTGCCTGTCATGATAGACTGCGGAATAAGGAAGGTCTTGTGCTCCACTTTAGTCTCACCACCAGGGTGTAATGTGAGATATAACACCCTGAAACTCTGACCCGACAGATCCAATGCCAGAAAGCTTCCATCCTCTGGAATTGAATTGTTTTACAGTAAATGCAATTGTTTTATTTCAAATCCATGTTGAGAATCTGCAAAAATTTTAATAGGCCACATGAAAAGTTAAAATGACTTTTGAAACTTGTGTTTTGAACCTACCATTGAGGCCAAATATGAAATTTATATCTTATACTGTTTTACTTGTTTTCGGAATAAATAAATATATTCTCAAAATATGTACATTTACCATTTGTGCAGTTTTAACATGTAATATGTATACAGAGAGAATCAATAGGATTGTTAATGTATTTTTGATGATCATGACTTTACTGACCTGTGCCATCAGGAAGTGATCGGATGAACGTTTGAAACATTTTGACATCAGCAGTGTCGTGCATCTCTTTAGACAGTCCCTTATTCATCTCATTGTGAAGCAGGTTCATTATCTGCCTGTAGTCATCTTCAGATAGCATTAGTTCATGGCATACATTCTCAATCTGAAAATATTGAAAGATGAGCATGGGTTTCATTAGCCTTTTTAATTACAGGCAAAATTGATGAAAATAACAGGCAAAAAAATATTGCAAAGTAAACTTGTAAATACTTAATAAGTGGAAAATTCCTCGATACAACAGGATTTTTTAGGTAACAACGAGAGGGAGAGATTTGTTGCTTATGAAACCCCTTAAGAAGACTGGAGTAGATTGTAATTGATAGGTATCATAAGACTAAAGACTTCTCATTTTCAATCAAAATGACTGAAAATCCAACATTTTTGATTGTGGATGAGTTTTAAGGAATTCTTGCAACACATTCCTGGGAAACAACAGAAAACCCGGTAAGCCTTCAAATATACGATGACCAGTACATGTAGGCATGTCTTGGCAAAATGAAAAAAACCATGATAAGCTGGCATATGTGTAGTAAGCAGCTTCTAATATTTCCCTTTGAAACTATATACAATTTACAGCAAAAAATTAAAACAAGTAGATTTCAAAAATTACCTTTTTTATTGCATCAACTTGCGCCTCAGCATGGATTTGACCACCAACCATCTTGTTCAGTTTACTACAAAATCTAGTAATGTAGTATTTCTCTTTAAGTACCAGTATTACTAAATCTGCACCAACTAGACCTGTGTTCAACTTATCCAATTCTGGAAAACATCAGAAAAGAAACATGGTTACTATATATGCCTATCTATTACAAGTTGAAATGGTGAGAATACTATTATATTATAGTACTACTAGTTCTATTGTACATAGAACACGAGAAAGTGGCCATTTTCAACTTTCAGTTTCGAAACTTCTAATTTCATGCATCTTTTTGCGTATAGCAGTCGTCATAGGCTGTCCTTCGTTAAAAATAATATATGGGAATGAACCTAAGGAAACAAAGAACTCTAGGAACTACCAATTTTTAACAGTGGACGCGTCTTGAGGAAGAAATCGACTCTGGAGCTAATAATTTGGAGGTGAAAATTGTTTTTTTTGCATTTTAATCACTTCTTTACATATTCTTCGGATTTCTCAGCAATTAGTAGATGGATTGCTACCATTTTGGGTAACTTTGCTCTGTAGTGTTGTTTGAATCAGCATGTCGATTATTGAAAAAAGATTTCTTATGTTTTTACTGGATATATCTAACAATCATTTTCTACAAATTTCAGGAAGCATCGAAAACGACCTCCCTTATACTCTTAATAAGAAGTACACACTCATCGGAGGGCTTGCCCGACCCTCCAGACAAGCCCCTGTGGCTTGAGGATGGTGGAATGCATTGGCCAAGGGTAAAGTAATAGTAAGCTGTATATAGAAGACACTGTATCTTCTAATATACAGCTTACTATTACTTTTCCCACAGGCAATGGAACATAGAAATAATCCCCCCCCCCCACTCTCTGTACATAAGTAAATAAAACAGGAACTTATCGTAGAAACTTTACCCAGTCATATTACTGCTACTGAGGGTTGTCATTTCGTATTTTTCATACCTATGCAAAGATTATACATTGAATACGATTTATACTTACTTACCAATACCAACTCAACCTAGTTATACTGGAAAATTGCAAAATTGTGACGAAAAAATTGACCGTTTTGGATTCACCACATTTCGACAGCCACCAACAGCGACATCTATCATATCCAAGACAAGTGTCACACTATTTCATTATTTTATTTTATTTGAAAATAACTACAAGTGAGACTTGAACAATGGATTTGTGGCTTGAAATAGATCGGGTGCTCTAAAGTGATTATGAATTATAAGTCATGTCTGGTTTTGATACGTCTTCCATCTAATATTTGTTATTTTTGACATTGTAGAAATTTGGAATTCAAAATATCGTCGTGACATTCCGGACTTAAAATTATTGGTGATTTGATTGGTCAATCGTCAGACCTTTTAATGAGTGACCGTTCGAATATTTAGGCCGTTAAAAATCAAATTTGTATCGAATTCTTCTTTAAAAAATACTAAAAGAATAAATGTGTGTACAAAAGTTTAATTGAATGCATATTTTAATTAAACACTTTTAATTAATAATCGCTGTCATTTGATTGGCCGACTGCGAGGTAAACAAGATGGCAGTTGGACGTCAATTTGTTGTGACCGCAGGTAGGTCACAAAAAGGCCGGCTGTACTTCCACTCTCAGAATTAACATTTATCTACGAGTGGACTAATTCGTACATAAGGTATTTATTCATATTATCTGTAAATTTTAGAGACTTCCATGCAATAGGAGGTGAGATGCAACGAGGATACAGTGCGGGGTCAAGTTTCTACGATAAGTTCCTGTTTTATTTACTTATGTACAGAGAGTGGGGGGGGGATTATTTCTATGTTCCATTGCCTGTGACTTTTCCCTTAGCCTATGGTGGAATGAGTTTATCCCGTTCCCGGACTATGGTCCTGTGAACATCTCAATCTTTTGCCTGTGCGATTACAACATGGGAGAATTTTTTACTGATCTTACACTTCAGATACCTACTTCAATAGATTCCTTGGTAATTTAGCATTCTTTTCGTGTAGTTGAATCCACAATTGTCTGGGTTTATCGGCAGAACGAAGACATTTTCGTTTTTGATCGCAATATTTGCGTGTAACATTTAACTTATTTCAACCGTCAAATTCCTCCATATTGGTACTTCCGGGCTACATCCGGGACAGCCAAACGGGGGATTCCCCTTTTAAATCCAACTGCCATTTTGAAAAGTGATGGAATCTCTCTCGATGAAAAAGAGAAAATGTTCCCGTTCTGCCGATATACCCAGACAATCGGCGGTTCCAATATATTAGAAGTTACATCTTGAGTTCTATAATGCATTGAGGTAGGTATCTTAAGTGTGAGGGGCGTAGATAATTCTACCAAGTTGTAATCGTACAGGCAAATGAATGCGATCAGTGCAGGACTATAGTCCGGGAACGGGATAAGAATGAGTGATCCTCGATTTTGGATTGATTCAAAAACTGAAAAATAACAAAGTTGTTTCAACCTTTCAAATAACTAACACAACAGTAAATACCAAAATGCTTCAATGTTATCTATAAACGAAATCAACTATAATAGGTGTAATATCAAGTGAACTACTTACCAACTCAAAGACGACCATAAATCAATGTAGGATTCTTTCATAAAAATTCGAAAATTTGGGATCACCTTGAACCTCATATCATGTCAATAAGGATGGCATCATAATTTTCTGCATGGAATCCAATCATTCGACAAAATTTAACTATAATTTATATCAGCAATTAAATATTTGTCTCAAAATAGATGTTAAATTTTATTAAATACATCGGATACAGAGATATCATAATTGAAGTTAGGTTTTATTCTTCTTGTGCTTGAATGTCCCGGATGTTAAGAAAAACAAAGTAAGTTTTATTACTTTAGGGGGTGTTTTTCAGCCAGTTACTGTGTAGTTGATGTATATTTTGGCAACAAGACACGCACTTGAATATACCTTTATATATGGCCCTTTGATAATCAACACTAGATAAGGTCAAATGGGTTTCAACTTTCACAAGGTGCTAAAATGACCAAGAAAATTCATCAGGAAGCTGAGGATCTACTCTCTGGGGTCAGGGTGCATGGTGGGAAATTTTCTGCATTCCTCAGTTGATTCACATGTGATTTTTCAAACAAGAATCACTCCTTCCCCACATTGTCTATATCTTCCAGTTTTGCACAAAGAGTGCATTTAGAGTTTGTAGAAAAACCGGGTACCGGGTAGTAAATCCTCCATGCTGGGTTCAAACTTGGTACCCGGTCGAAAAAAACTGGGTACCCCAAAAACGGGTATGTAAAAACATAAGTTTCTTTGCAGTAGACCAGAACAGGAATAAAGCTTGCAATCCCTTTACCAGCATGACATCATCACTTCAAACACACGAAGTACATTCAGGGGCGTAGCCAGCTTTCAGTCAGCGGGTGTGTGATCGTGGCATAAGCAACGACTAAGCAACAACTTGTTTTGAATTTATAAAAATGTATGTAACTTCCTTCAAAATTGAGCTAGAAGCTTCAAATAAAAAGCATTTTAAGGCTCTTTTCCTCTATCACCATGGTCATATTTCCATTGGTTATGGGGGGGGGCACCATCGCATCCCCTCCTGGCTACGCCTATGACATTGTGAGACATAACAATTTACACTTCAGTGGACGTTTCGTCGAAAATTGGGATAACTTAAATTATGATTAATAATCAAAATCTTACACTTAGCATCATGTAAATTAACACCTCTCTGCTAAAGTAACGATAGCTATTTACAGATTTAAATCGTGTATGTAAAAACAATTCACGTACCAACATACGAACTATTGAAAATAGAGTAAGATTGATTTGTCATGTTATATATTAAATTTAAATTGTATATTCATATTTTTCGTTTTTTCTCACAATGCTTTTCTAGGTACATAATTGCACTCTTTGTGCAAACCTGGAAGATGTAGACAATGTGGGGAAGGAGTAATTCTTGTTTGAAAAATAATATGTGACTCAATTGACCTTTTGGAAAATGGAAAATAGATGGCATCGTGGGTATTGGTAGGGCTAGAATTACGATATTCTATGGCCACTGAGTGTGGCCATAGAATATAAATAAGACACTCTTTGTTGTTTTGAATTTGCCTTTAAATTGCCCAGCCGTCTTATTTTTATTGATGTAAACAGTTGTTAACAGTTGTTTCAGTGTTAATTTTGCAATTGTGCTGGCTGTCTAATTATTTTCGAAGAAATTAATTCAAGGTGAAGTTTGAATATTCAGGGAAAGTCCTCCTGTTATCTTATTGGTCGTTGAATTTGTTTTTCATAAACCTGATTGGCTGCCTGGTTCAAGGCGCTTTTGGGCGCTTGTGTGACTCAATGGGGATTCCCCTTGCTATCCGAGGAATCGATTGTGTTTAATTCTGGAGTTTGGTTGTTCTGTTGATTATTTCCGATATTTCTGCAATAATATACCCAAAAGTTATTCTCAAGATATATCCATGGTATGTGAGTTATCATATGAGCAATAACAATAGGACATCATTGATTGTCTGGGGGAGAAACCTATGGCATAATGCATCTTTAAGTATGAAAGAAGGCAAGCAGTTTAGTTAGAAATATAAGAGTGACCTCATGAATTGTACCCTCATATGCCTCCTAGAAGGTAGAAGACACTCATAAATGTAACCCGGTTGGCAGTTGGCATCTGTAACAAATTCTTAAAACTTCCAATAATTTAACAAATACTGACTGACTTCAGATTTTTTCAAAATCATTTACAAGATATCAGAAGTTCAAATCTGACTTTAGATTTGACCTTCATCGACCTTCTCAAAAGGTATTTTTTCAACTTTCTTCAAATTGACCAATTGTTTTTCAAAATCATCTACAAGTTTTCAGAAGTTCAAATCTGACTATAGATTTGACCTTCAATAACATTCTCAAAGTAAAAAAATATTTGACCTTCAATGACCTTCTCAAGGTCAAAATGTCTTTTTTCAACTTGCTTCAAATTGACCAATTTGTTTTCAAAATCATAAATTCAACTCTGACTCTGACAAGATTGTGAGCAACTAGGTGGTGAAAATATATAAATACTTATGATTTTGTTTTTACTTCAATGAACCTCACTTACTTTTAGAACCATTTGTGTTAACACTTTTCCTGTATTTTTCAAGGAAAGTTCAAAAAATTATAGCAAGATAAATTGGATTGTCTCATAATCTGTGTTTAATCCACCCATCAACATACCCATTCAAAATACATTCATCATTTTCACCATCATCCATTAATTTTTTAACTGCTCCTTCTAGTGTTTTATAAATTATGATGATTTATAATGTTTCATCGCAACTACATACAGTGTATATCATCTGTTTACAATGAATTTGCCAAAAATTGAAGTGGTCCCTAGTAGACATTTAACATAGGAAAAATGTTAACTGTGAAAAAAAGTTCACTGTAGAGAGGTGTTCCCTAACATAGTTTTTACTATACTTGCAGAAATACTGCCAAAATACTGCATACAAAACAGCAAAACGATATAGTATAGATGATTGAATATACTAGAAGGCTCTACATATACATTGAAGAATGGGAAAGATTAAGAGTTTCAAGATCGTCTTTAATAATCACAGTAATGCCGTAAGAGCTGGGGAGTCACTCAGTGGCCATGTCTACACAGACTTGGAAAACCCACTTAAAATCAAAGGTGAGTGAATTTGAAAAAGTAATATAAAATATAAGGTAACACTAAAGAATACAATCTTCTCATTTTGGTATAACTTTCTCAATTAGGATAGAATCTTCTTGAAAAATAACATTAAATATTACACTGGCGAGAAGGCTGTATAATGTAGCATGGTTGGTTCTTATGTGGAGAGCTTCATGTAGTATGTGTTAAGTACAGTATTAAGCTGAGGCCCGGGTATACAGTAAAATAAAGTTTCTTGTGTTTTACATCTATCTTGTTTTGTTACATCTTATTCACTCATTTGCATGAGTAAGTAGCTTAAGATAGTAAAATCTAGTATATTTACATATATACTAGGCATTACCAACATAAGTACACTGGGGGATTTTTAACATTTTATAACGTATACCAAGGCCTCAGGTATTAAGTGTAAAGTATATGTTGAGAGTAAGTTGTTTTTTTATTATAGGGATAACAGTGAGGTTATTAGGAAAAGCCAAAGCCAAGTGGCAGCGAGGTTCAGGACGTTCCCGAGAAACTTACAAGAATTCCGAAACTTACTTTAATAATACTTTTGTTGTGTTCGGTAAGCGCTGTTTTTTAAGTCAAATTTTTAAAAAATGTAATGACCTTCGATAGCAAGTCGCTACTACAGTCTCAGCTGTAGTGGCTAGCCTTTATGGCTCAGGGGTAGAGCGTCTGACTCGAGAGCGGAAGGTCCTGGGTTTGATTCCCGTACGGGGCATTGAATTTAGCACATTCTCTATGGAGTCTAGTATCTGGCTCGGTACGCTACAGCTCCCCGACGAGCGTGCCCAAGGGTCGCTACAAAAACTACAAGTCGCCATTTTAAAATTCTATTTGAAAACATTTTTTAACATACAGCATTTTGTAACAGTTTGGCTTTTAATTGAATATACGGTATATAGTTTTATTTATATTTAATTAATATCCAATTTTTGTATTATTCAAAATAGTGTTCCACTTGTATTGTACATAACAGTAAAAAGCATGTTTCACATTATTTGGTTGTGTAACTTGTAGGTAATGATTCGCATCATACAGAGACTGTTGTCTTAGAAGCTGGAACAACACGCCATGCTTTCAGTCTCCATATGAAACCTACATTGCCATCAACCTTTGAGGGAGGATATGGTTCAGTGAGGTACACAGTCAAGGCAACCATTTTTAAACCATGGAAGGCTAATGTGTCCACCAAACAAGCATTCAGTGTTGTTAGTATGCTTGACCTAAATTGTATGACTGAAATAAGGGTAAGTGCGTCAGCCTTGTAGCCAGGGGGTGGGTGGGGGGAGTGACGTGAACCCCACCTTGAATTTTTTTGAAAGTGAAAACCCCTTGAAAAAAGCTGGCTATGGGCCTCTGTATTTTAATCTTAAACTAGGAGCAGACTTCTCAATTTTCAAGTTACGCTATTAAAAATGTCCAAAACTAGTTTTTGGATATTAAAACAAGTAGATGTTCATCTTGGCTCTCATGAGTATCCTTCAAATTCAAATAGACAATGCGGTTGCACATAATTCATGTGGCTAATAGACTAGATGCGAGTAGAAATAATCGTGATTTATGTCCTAAAATATTCAAAATTCAGTCAAAGTGATGTCATATTTGAAATCTACATGCTACATGTAAAAGTACATCTAAATATGGTTTCGAAAATTGGTTATCAACTTTGAAAATTTAATTTTTTTTGAAAATGTGACTTTTAGTTTGGGTTGATTCCCCATAGACCCTATGTTACAAAATCACAAAAAGTGAAATATCTTCCTGTATTGGACAGATAACATTTTCTTTTACTGCACATGTTTTAATTAGCATAACTATTAGATACATAAGGGTTATATGAAAAGTAAACTACTGAAACAGATGTAATTTAAGTTAAAGGGAACTTTTTACTGTACCCGTCATGCTATCTAAACTCGGATGAGCCACCTGGTGGTGAAACTGGTAACTACCTACTTGCATCTGTGTTTGACTTCTAATGACAACACCTCATGAACGAACAAGAAGCCAATATACAGATTTGCATTTACTTCCGTTTCTTCTTCCAGGTTCCAAAAACTAAAAGTACAGAACGGGAGATAACATGCTGTTGTTTTAACCGTGGAAAGGTTCGCGCTAGTGTGATGCTCAATAGATGGGGCTATGTTCCAGGGGAAGCTATTTTGATTAACGCCGAAGTATGTAATGAGAGTTCAGAGAAGGTCACGAATGTGAGGGCTGCTCTTTATCAGGTAAATGTACAGTCTTTTTTTTCTTTTATTGACTCTTATATATGTCAGTCTTTCCGACACATGGGTCACTATACAGTTATTTACATGTGTTTTATATACAAATATACAGTCATAAGCAAAATAGAAAAATCATAACATCATGATTCTAATGTAGTGTTGATAATATACATTCAGACTGAAAACGCCTAATTGCTACAAAATTTACATTCTATGATACAAACTAAATTTACAAAAAGTTACAAACTTTTACAATGTTAGAGACTAGATATGAATGCTCTTAGGTGCGGGGTCAAAATATCGATGTTCATATGGAGACGAAAGTACTTTCGCGAGGGGGAGGGGGTTTTTGGGCACTTTCGTTGACCAAAAAAACATCGATAATTCGGATCTGATATACAAAAAATAATTGGACTTACCCACTTTTTCTGGCACTATGTTCTGATAAAAAGGCTTGTTTTCAATAGTTCGTGAGCTTTTTTGTGTGATAGGTCCAAAATATCGGTAGATAAAGACGATAATTCGATCATTTTTCAAATAAATTCCGTACTTTTCCCTCCACCTTTTGAAGAGTTCAATGCAGTTAAATTGCGAACGTGTGTTAATTCACCGTAATAATAACCCGGCAAATAGGATACGATTATGCCTCTCAAAATCAATGTTTTTTTGAAGTGACCTAAGCTTTGGTCTAGAGGGGGGGTGGGGGGGTTGTTGTCCAAACGAAATTACTTTCGTCTCCATATGAACATTGATATTTTGACCCCGCCCCTTACATTGTTACAATCTATGAGGAATTTGGCTGCACTCTCCTCAAGGGTCACACATACCTAGCATTTATAGTATGACAGTTTTGCTGAGTTGTATACAGTATTATTGATTAAACTTACCTGAGGAATAGGTTTTGACTAAACCTGCACAGGTAGTGTTATAATTGTTTCACCTGTATATTGAACAGGAACTTCCTTATATTGTATGTCACATGACTATTCCTTATATGGTCAATTATGTTATATGGGATATTCACATATATCATTAGGTAATTCCTTATATGGTCATGTATATGTATCTATGTGGAAAAATTATACTTGATAATTCTTGGTTGCTGTATCAGAGCATCTTGTATTTGCAATACAATAAGTGTATCAAACTGACAGCAAAATTGATAACACATGTTTACATGTACTTGCAGCATGTAGTATACAAAGGTGTTCGAAATGCGATATTCTTAATGGAGCGAGATCGTACTAAGGATGAGTGGAAACTGGTGGCTAGTGTTGCAAAGGGGGGTGTCGAGGCAGGGGGAACTCAGGTGTGGAGGGATGAAGGTCTCACTATTCCACCCGTACCTCCCTCCCATCTACTTGGTTGTGCCTTCATTGATATTAAATACACTTTACTGGTATGTGCTGTGTTACTTGCTGTTCATTGACATGTTTTACATTATAACATACATTTAATTCCTTTTTAACTGTCAGTTCAGATAAAGCGATAACAAGCATTTACTGGGTGTGTCATATGTATGCACCCCCTTTAAACTCATACATGTAGCATTGCCACCCTATCATGTTTTATCATTTTGTTCCTCACAGAAAGTAACATTATTAGACTGCAAAATTCCAGAATCCAGGGGTATTACTGAAAAAAAGATATGTGGGCAATTTTTGGTCAATGTTGGCAATTTTTGGTTTTGAGGGCAATTTAAAGGACAAATTGCACATTTCTAGCAGTTGTCATCATGGAAGAGTTCAGTCCAGAGTTCTGGAGTTCACATAATGTATAGACAGGATTCATGCAGTGCATTGTAGGGAGGTCAGGGACCATAGTACCACATTTATTACAAGAAATGGGTAACAGATAAAGTGAACAGATAATGTTTACAAAAATATAATATATTATAAAGTACCCCATACCTGCAAACTTTGATACATTGTGTCTTTTTTATGGACACCCCTTGATTTTGAAACTTTGTAATGTTATGTAACTTTTCAAAAAAGACTATAACATGATAGGGAGACAATACTACATGTATGAGTTTAGAAGGGATGCATACATATGAAACACCCTGTAATATGGTGTGAATAGTACACTTTGGCATGAGGAAGCATAATTCATAGGTTTTCATAATATATAAGTATTAGAGTGTCACATCTGTGGATCCACATCCACTGTATTACATCAGATATGTAGAATACATGGCTTAGACTTGATACAATATTCCAAGAAATCAAACTGTTTTAAATGTGCCTTGTTAAAAGTGTACATGTAAAAAAGAAAAATATCGTTACCAGATTATATCTTTAAATTCTTTCAGCTGCAAGTACACACAGAATCAGAATTCTCACAAGCCATAGAGCTCCCCCTTACAGTTGAGATTGGAACTATACCACTCCTGAATTTGTTCTCTCCGCCATCTTACAACCATCTAGAGGGTCCAATCATAAGCCAGCCAGCAGCTGTACCAATACCACCTGGTCAGGAGTACCTCAGGCCACCAACATACGAGGAATCATTCGGTGATGCAATTCCCAGTATGTGTCCAAATCCTAATATTTATGATTCATTTATCCCATTAGAATTGTGTATATAAATAAAATATTTAAGTCATGTCACCACCACAAATCTCTTTTTTGTGGATGGTGTTCGGCTGTTGGTGAATGCTGTTAAGTGGTCAAAGTCAGGAGTCTGTAACAAATGGCAGGTGCTTGCATTTTGCATGTTAAATAGCCTTGCATTGAGTCTCAATACCTTACCCTTTTCTTTCTTCTTCCCCTTGAGGTGTTAAATAGGCTTAATGCAAGACTAGAACCTAACTTTGTGAATTATTCCAGGTGCCCCACCATCCTATGCCGAGTGTGTCTTTGGCCAGGTTAATACTCACGATGATGAGGATGAGACAGAGCTAGGGGATTCAGTCAACTATGCTCCAGTGTATACATTCTACCGTAATCCACCACCACCTTCACGTAACGCATCATACACTAACAATGCACTCATTGCTCCGACACTTACGGGGGAGGGTGCTACGGTGCAATCAGACCATTCACTTGGTCCATCAACTAGTATGGGGGTACAACCCATTACTACACAACCACAAGTGATGCAACCATTACCAACTGATCCAAGTGCAATTACTATTGATACAAACGTTAACTCGGCTGAACTTTCACCTGAGTATGCGAGTGAACCAGGAGCAATTGAGTTCACAGCTAGACCAGAACAGGAGCCCCAGACTGTGCAGAATACTGCAGCTATCTCTGATATTACTCACCTCTAAAAATAGACCAAATGAACAAAGTGGTCCCATAATAATAGTCCCATAATAAAAGTGGTGTTGGCAGAATCCTGCAGCTATCTCTGATATTACTCACCTCTAAAAATAGACCAAATGAACAAAGTGGTCCCATAATAACAGTGGTGTTGGCAGAATTCTGCAGCTATCTCTGATATTACTCACCTCTAAAAATAGACCAAATGAACAAAGTGGTCCCATAATAATAGTCCCATAATAAAAGTGGTGTTGGCAGAATCCTGCAGCTATCTCTGATATTACTCACCTCTAAAAATAGACCAAATGAACAAATGGTCCCATAATAATAGCCCCATAATAACAGTGGTGTTGGCAGAATTCTGCAGCTATCTCTGATATTACTCAACTCTAAAAATAGACCAAATGAACAAAGTGGTCCCATAATAATAGTCCCATAATAACAGTGGTGTTGGGAAGTTTATTTAATCCTCCATTGATTGTCAATTATTTCATAATTGGTCAAATACGAAAAAAGACGTAAAAGACCAACTACTGTACTTCTGCTTAATTTGGCGCTACTTATTTTGGCAGATTTGCTGTTTTGAGCATTAAGCAACTACTTAATTTGATGGACTTGCAATATTACAATGTACTAATGGTACTACTTGTAATTTACATGGTACTAAAATTACTGGGGAGTTTGGCGGCTACTTAATTTGGCGGACTTTAACAATTTGGCGGGTCCGCCAAATTAAGTAGAAGTACAGTAAGAACACTGATCACGGTGCTAGAAACACTGTAAATGTGACAGTCATTGTCTTGTTGTATACATGCACATGTATTATTGTATGTATTTATTATATACATTGAATGGCTACTACTGTGTGACCTCACCATGTGGAGTCAACTGAAGATTTATGAGTCCTAGGACTATAGTGGTGTGGGTTGGTTAAGGTGGGTTAAGTTCATATGTGTTTTTGCATGATGCCATTGTGCAAATCTATGTGTAAAATGTTAATTATTATCCCACCGAACGAAGTTCGAGGGGGATATAGAGAAGCCGTCCGTCCGTGTGTCTGGGCGATAACTCCAATACCGGTTGACGGATTTGGTTAAAATTTTATAGGCTTATGCCTTATGAGTGTAGGACCTCTGCTCGAGAAGGAATTTTCAATATGGCCGCTCAATTTTAAAATGGCCACCATTTTTCGTATAAAATGTAATCGTTGATAACTCAAATACAAGTAGACGGATTTGGTTCAAATTTTATATGCTGATGCCTAGGGACAAAGGAGTTTCGCTCAAAAAGAGATTCAAAATGGCCGCCATTTTTCGTAAAAATATGTAATCTTTGATAACTCAAATACCAGTAAAAAGATTTGGTTGAAATTTTACATTATTATGCCTAGGGACACAGTAGTTCTGTTCAAGAAATAATTTTCAAGATGGCGGCTGTTATTTCAAGATGGCGGCCAATTTTCGTAAAAAACATAATCTTTGATAACTCATATACCAGTGAACGGATTTGGTTCAAATTTTATATGATGATGCCTAGTTCACAATGGTATAAACTAACTTTGTGCCAAATTTCATGCTTCTATCACAAAGAGCACAAACATTTCAACATTTACACTAGCTATAATAAGCATAATATGTTTTGTTTGGTGGGATCTGCTACTCCGTGGAGTTGCTGTTTTTCTAGTTACTCTTACTTGGCCCACCTAAATGGATAACACATATTCCAATATATTATAATTTAAAAAGCACCATTGATGGTCACTATGATATCCCTATGTCAAATTATAGATCAGGTTTTAACACTGATCAGCAGCTCCCTCTTCATGTAATATTCTAGTGAAGACACTCAAAAAATATAACTTTGTCTCCTTATTGCCTATTTCTGTGTGATCTCATCCATTGGATGGATAACATTTATTCCAATAAACTATTTACTTTTTAAGTACAAAAATATTTGCCAACATAAAACATTTATGACAATTGGGTCACTTCTAATTGATTGAATGTGTTGCCACTTGACTGCAGTATTACATTTGTTAAACTCAGTATTTTATATTTGACAAAAGGCACCATGAACATTGCATGGTTAATTTGGAGGATCGCCTCGTTAGATTTTAGAAAATTAAATTGTCTGACTTAGGATACAAAGTATAACATGGAACACCTCTATGAGTAGAACACATTTTGAAGTCCAGTTACTCATTAGATTTATGTAAAATAAACTGAAGTGGAACACCTCCCAAGTGGAACATCTCTCAAGTGGAATATTTACCTTACACAGAATTTCAGTGATTATGTATGCTCCATTATAAAGTAATCTCCCAGTAAACCTTTGGCTTTTACAACTAGACAATGTATCCATTTGAGATTTAAAACAACCACGATTCCAGTTGATTACAGTTGATTCCAGTTTCTCCAAGTTTCTCAAACAAATTCTTATGAAAATGAGTTTGTATATAATACATAATACATGTACCACATAGCACTCGCATATTCAGCTTTGATTTCTAATATATGTTTCTAGAAATATGGGTAATAATATGGGATATTCAATATTCACAGAATCAATGTTTTGAATAAAATGCCTTGATGCCTTTAAATAAACAGATTCATATTTTATACTGAACGATATGTAAACAATAAATAATCCGCAAAAATGGAAATGCGATTAAACCCAAGCACAGACAAGTTCATACATGACAGTATATTTTGGCATTTAGTTTGGAGAAACTATGCAAGCTTTCATTTTTTGTATTCACTCTACTATACCTTGCATTTGGTGTTCATGAGCAACCCATTTGGCCTATCAGTAATGCTTATGATATTTGTTTTTATGTGTCTGCTGCTTATGAATGGTTTATTGGATGACTGTTAAATGTTAATAAGGTACTTTCAAAAATATACTTAACGATACAATTAGACAAACAGAATGGCTTATGCATTTCTAGGGGTTAGGTATAGTAGAGTGGTATTGTGTATATGTATGTGTTCCATTGCCTTTATCAGAGATATGTCTCTGCTTTATTAAAAGAGATATATGTAATGTTGTATTTGTTATATGCTTAAAGTAATATATTTTTGTGACATGCAATAATGCAAAATAAATCTTGTGATAAATTGAACATGAATGTTATATTTTTCCTTGTATCTAATGTAAGAAGTCAGAAGTTAGTAAGCTAATACTTTATAAAACATTTATATAGTAAACACTTATGGAACCATAAAAAAAGTGTTCACTGAAAGTAGGTGTTTACCACAAAAAGAGGATTTTACACAGGAGTCAATGTAAAATGTGTGTTTAAGTGGTGTTCACTAAACATGGGTGTTCACTAGAGAGAGTTGTTCACTAAGACAGGTTTTACTGTATATATTAAGGTGAGCAAAGTGGAATGGACTTTCTCCTGTTTGCTCAGGACATCATCAATGCACTCAACATCAATGCAATAGGTCATTATTATCTTTGTGCATGACATCACTGTTAATAGGTCTTGTTTGCACATGACATCAGTGTGAACATAACATCAGCGTTAAAGGACTAAAAGGACAATTTCCTTTTAGTGCATGACATCAGTGTGCTCGAGACATCACTGTAAAAACGTCTTGTTTGCACATGACATCAGTGTGCACATATCCTCAGGGTTAAAGGTCCAAGGTCCTTTTTGCACACGACATCAGTGTGCTCGTGACATCACTGTAAAAAGGTCTTGTTTTCACTTGACATCAGTGTGCATATAACATCAGTGTGCAAGGTCAAGGTCCTTTTTGTGTATGACATCAGTGTGCTCGTGGGCAGTGGCATCACTGAAAATGGTCTTGTTTGCACATGAAATCAGCGTGCTTATAACATCAGTGTAAAAGATAAAGGTCCTCTTCGTGTATGGCATCAGCGTGATCGTGACATCACTATAAAAAAGGTCCAGGTGCTATTTGTCCATGGGCCATTGCCAAAGATTATAAAAAAATCTTCCAGCATTTTACATTCTCTATCCCTACTAATACCATAAACCAGATTAGCCTAAATATAGTCGGAAGATTGAAATTGGAAAGAGTACATTGGTTGGCAAATTGTAGATTATCCAACCCCTTAATAAAGATAAAGATACAATACAATACAATATCCTTGAACAAAATGATGATCCACACATCTCTATTAACTTGTACTAGTATTTTTTATTGGGTAGGATAGAAAGATGGCAGCACCTCTCATTGGAATCAGGCCATGTGGTAAACATTATTTCAAAATTGTGCTAACAGCACTTTGATTTTCTCGATGCCAGTCATTGGAGGAGGTAACCTTCACCAGATATTGTGTTAAATTTGGAATATTTTTGATTTGTAAAAATCAATCGTTTTCCTGAAATAAAGTATGCACTTTAGGTAATGTAGATCATTTTTTTATAAACGTGGTCACCACATTATTTCATTATTTGGGAGAATGATATTGCTTGCAATTCATTTCACCCCTATTGATCTGATTCTGCCTTTAAATCAAAAACACATAAGCAACATTTTAGTATATGGTTTAACCAAGGGAAAGATCAATACCCGGTGATTTCAGCGGGAAGTGGCGTTTCGTTCAGTGGATGAGCTGCGCGCGCACGCATAAATGTGATTATCCAATATAAGCACAGTGACCTACAGAGGGCGCTATCACAAACAAGTACTGCACGAACCGATAAATTCCCGGGTATTGTAACGCCCTTGGTTTAACAATGGCTAACATTTCGATATTGGCCGAGATCATTCCTAAGAACCATGAAGTGATCGGAATATTTAGATTGAAGAATCGACCCCATAAGATAATCATTGAAAGAAATGGAGATCTATGAAGTTCATTTTACTTCATTTTGTTTTCACATATAAATCAGACTTTCAATTGGTCATATTTCCTCTCTGGCACCACCCCTCCCAGTTTGGCACATTAGAAAAGTAATGAAAACGTAGAACCAGACATCAAATTATTCCAACAATATTTAGTGTCAAATGTCAATTTTGAAAAATAAATGCCAGTCCGGGCAATTTAAACTACATAACATTGAATAGAGAGAAGAAACTAGCGTTTGATGTGCTGGAGAAACACGCAAATCACACATATCATTGTGCCAAAATCACTTGCTATTAAACAATACATTTTCCTCTGATTGTATTTAACTACAATAGGTCACGCAAACCAAAGACTCGGATCTTGGATTGAAGCAGATATTACCATCGGTCTCAAACTTCTGCTACACTTGTGTGGTCGTGGACTCATAAACAATGCACATCGATCATTTAGAATCAACCATTATTTTTTCATAAAAAAAGCGGACTGGAATTTTTTGAATAGTATCGGAGAGACAGAATCAGAAATATTGATATTTTTGAAATTACAAATAACCTTTATCACTGGACAGTATCAAGCGAAGGTAATGTCCCACCTTCGCATCTAAGTTTTCATACTTCATGTATAGAGTTTCTATGTCCTATATGCCTGATATAGTTCAAATATCATCAAAGCATTACGTCAACTATAAAGTAGAGTAATTCGATGAAAACTAAAAAATATCGAAATCGACACTTCCGGTCCGCCATCTTAGCTGCAAAGGTGACGGCCGTTACCTTCGCTTGATACTGACCAGTTTGATACAAGTGAATGGGAATGCAAATTGCAATATCATTTCAAAATTAAACAGTAGTTTTGAATTAAAAAATTACAATATTAATGATTTCTCTAATAGAATTCATGGTTTCAATCCGTGTGTAAGCCACGAGTGTCCAAAATAATTCTAAAATGCCAAGCAACATGGCATACAAGGATCCAAGTTCAAGGGTTCGAGGAATGCTAAATTGACAATAAAATAGACATGCGTGAAAATGACAAAATCTCAATTGAATATTGGTATCATGGGACAATTTATCATCCATGGGCATTTTGAGCATTTTCAATATCACGTTTTCACTTTGGTTTAGAATGTTTTTATATGATTGAATATGTTTTTATTAGTGACCCCGTTCATTTTTCGAATTTAGCTATTAAATAGGTTTTACTCGATCTTTGCCAAAATGAGTCCAACTCCAAACAGCTGTTAAGGGCAGATATTCTAATCTTAAATGATAATCCTATTTTTAATTCGTATGTAACTTACAAAGTCAATTGACTCCTTTTCTGTAATAGTTTGTAAAAAACGTTCATGAATAAAGTGATGAATTGTCTTTTAAAATTGAAAAGTACTTGTTTCAATTTGGAATTTGGACTTTTTTCAGGCTGTTATGATTTTAGAAAAAAGGCTGCTGTCCATAGTCTATAAATTATATAAGTTACCTATCATTGTAAGGAGTTAACGTATTTTAGGATTATTTTTATGAGAATTGGTTAGGCCCATGAATCCTTTAAAATATGATGAATAACGTTGAGAACTTGTTCAAATGACAATTCACTAATTTGCTCTTATTTTTTAATTGTTGGTATTTAGTAAACAGCAATAAGCCATAGTGGTGTACAATGTCAATCTCTTCATTTTCAATCACATTTATAAGTAGCTGTGGTTAGAGCTGGGTAGATGTGGAGAATGTGATATAAATTAGATATAATATAACTAATTATAAAGGTGTCGATTGCGTATAAAAATTACATAGACAACCTCGGCCTCCAAATAGGTATAAACTCTTTGAAACACTTTGAATTCGTGGCATACCGGAGATTGTCCCCTCTGTTGACCAACGGAATCCCTTCTAACCTAAAATCAACCGTCCATGTTTTCCCTAAAGATTAGTAATGTGGCGGAATTTGCAGTGAAAGATGTTTGTTTATTTGAGGTGGCCTTAGTAAACATTTTGGTAGGTAGGATTGTGAACAAACCCCGCCTACTGTAGACTCTAACAAACGTTCACAAAATACCAGCTCATATTCATAATTGAATAAGCTACGTTTTGCCGACCACAAAGTATTCAATATCTCATTTATCAGAGGGATTTGACCGATAATTTGACCTTTTCAATGAATAATTTAAATTGTTTTGTACAATTAGGTTTTATCGTTAATAGCCTGTTTTCGTTGATTTTTTCTTTTAAAGATGGCTCAGGAATCACTTGTGCCGATAATATTTTGGTATGCTTTTCCACGACGGGAAATTAACTTTGTGTATTTTATTGCTAGTACTAAATAGAATAGCTCATTCACGAGGCGTTAGTTCGTGATTCTCCCAAACCATGGCGCTACAGTCGGTGCACCGCCGGTGGAGTATTATTGAAATCGATTTAGTCACGTGGTTATTTTAATCATCCACCAGCCAATCAGAAGTAAGAAACGATGAGAGATTGAATGTATACTAGAAGCAATGGTTTTAAGGTACAGATAGAATGAAGTAGTTATAGTACAAGCAAGGATATATTATTTGACCACCCAGAATATCTAAAAACGCATATGAGAATTAAAATTTTACCATCGACTAATAGTGACGCGATGACTGTGGAACCTCATCCGAAAAGTAAGTAATCTTTTAAAGAACTTTAAAAACGTTTACCCGAAGTGTGTTTAGTGTCAAGCCTTAAAGTTAGAAGTTGTTTTTTATTTTTGACATTTGGAGTTTGACAAGTATATAACGTGCAGAGACAGTCTGGGTTGAGGGGGCAAAGGGGGTATGCAATCATATGCGTCTTGTCATGTCCGAATGAATGGTCATGGGGAACATTTAGAGATATATAGCTTGAAAAATCGGTTTATTTACGTTTTGTTAAACGATTTTGATACAAGGTAAACAAACATAAAAGATCTTAAAGCATGCCTTCAAGTTAGAGAATCGTTTAGCAATTATACAATTATTTTACTCTTTCTGAGTCTCTTTTTTAATTCATTTGGCCTGTTTCAGTTTTATTAAACTTTTTTTTAACAATTTTAAATCTGATTTTTTTTATCATTAATATATATTGGTGGTTTGTACATTTCTTGTTCTGTTCCAAGAGTTATTTATTTTTATTAAAACTACTATATACAATATCTATGAGTATTTTTGCCAGAACTATCGTTCATTTTAATTCAATGAAAACATTTAAAATTTGAACTTTAATTAATAATTGCAAACGCATAAATTTTAAACATACATTTATTATTGCCCCATGCCCACATACTTTAACTTGTTTTTATTTGTTTGTTAGAAAAACGTCGTGTGCCAATGTGTGTGGGGTGCGGGGCGCAGATACAGGATCAGTTCATACTGAGGGTGGCCCCGGACCTAGAATGGCACGCTAGTTGCCTCAAATGCGCCGACTGTAACCAGTACCTCGACGAGAGCTGTACGTGCTTCGTAAGAGATGGCAAAACCTATTGTAAAAGAGATTACGTAAGGTAAGACATGTTAACATATCAAGTGTACAGGTACCATAGGAGTTTAGGCCCTGTATGAATTTTTTAATCAATTACTTTGGTGTAAATACCGAAGGAGCGATTTGGAACATGGTTGAAAGCCTATACTAAGGGGTCAAATAATATTAGAGTTATGCGTAACGTAACATGTTACCACACACAAGAGCAATGTTTAGAATGGTGATATTTATTTGGTATATTAATGAGACGTAATCACATGCACCTGAACTATTCATTCAATCCTTTATTCCCTTATGTAGTTGTAAAGGATCAGCGATTTTCAAAATCCTGAGTAGCCCGTTAATCCGACCCCGGGGCAAAAATTTGACGATTTTCCTTGCGAGTTTTCCTTACAGTTCGCACACCACGTTACAGCCTCTTTCCATTAATCCCGTCATGGCTTCAAAGATTTCATCTAATTTATCCGATTTGTGTTATTGAATTTTCACTTGTGGGTCTGCTTATAATTAATCGAATGACTTGCATACATTGATTAAAATAATGATAGCCAGTGGTGAAAAGGAACTATGTGGACGAATGACCGTGTCAATCTGCAGAATTATTTTTTCTATCAGAATAATAAATGCCCCTAATCGGAAGCCGTAAAAAATAAAAACTAGTCCAAATTATCGATGAATATCAATAATCATTATTAGAAATATTTTTTATGAATATTTTCATGAATGCAGAACAATATCTTGTGACATTGACTACATTTCTGTATTCAAATTTAAGTAAATTTAAAAAGATTAATGTATGATATGAATATGGAAATACATACTATACCCTATCAATTCTATTGAGCCGTGAATCTGAAATGAAAAATTCAAAGGCAGACTTTACAGCGATCTACCCTGCTTTGAATCCAGAGACTATTTATACTCAATATTAACTCTGCCCTGGTCGATATACAGGACCATATTTCTATACAAACTCTCAGAGAAATAATTTCAGTACTATATAATTTTCTTCACGCTAATTATACCCAAATATTAATGATTCCACGTAGCGCTCTTTTTGGTATTTTTTCTGCTAATGAGCTGGAGATTGAATGAAGTGAAATATTGAAGACAATATTTTGGATAATTAGATTTCTTTAATAGTAATCAATGCATTGATGAAGTATTGAGTATGAGATACAATTTCCTCAAATTAAATCCTGTATCGATCCAACATATCCCAGGTCTAACCTGTCTAAAAAATTCAACAAACTCAATTATTCTGTGTATGTTAATTTTATTGCATCTTTAAATAATAAAAATTATAAAAACGCCAGTGATAATCCGGGTCAATGATGCATCCATACCAGTAATAATTAATCTCGAAGACTCACACACCTGCGAGTGTTGACTTAGGCTATTAATATAATAAAATAATTCATGGTTGATACAAGTTTTAATTTGATCCAGCATAAGCCGATAATCCAGATGCAAATATTTGGAAAACACCAACGTTCTGTGCTCCAAAAATAATTTTATTATATTTTATTTATATATCGTATGTTATATGGAATAATGGTATTTATATGAAATGCAAAGTAGTAGTCGGTGAGATATTTGCGATTCTCGTGTACACAAATGCTTTAAAATTAATAATTAATTTTGAAAATATATTAAGATATGATGAATCGATTATTTTTTATCAAACATTCTGAGACATGAATAAATCACAACATTTTTTATTAATATTAATTATATTGTAAAGTTTGACATGTATTTAACCCGCGTACACGAACCTTCCGCCCTTATGAATTATGAATTACAATGTTTGGTGGTGTTATTGTTGAAGTAGTCTGTTCCTTACACGATTCAGTCCCATCCAAAAGCCAATCAATTCAACCAAAATAAAACAACAGTTTAACGCAAGCAATAATGCTAGGCCCTATTTTCGTGTGATATTAATTCGATAATTGGCACCATCTCCTACTATATCGTGGCTTGGTCCGTTCTTTTCCCCTGTTAGTGTCGTGTCTTTCTAAATGTGTTTATTTTGTTGTGGGGAGACTGGGGTGGTAGTTTGCGTGTTCTCGGCCCTGATATGTACTTCACGCTAATCAAGAGCCACTGATCAATACAACAAACTTTCTTTTGAATCAAATAAAGCATGTTTTAGCATGCGAGATCTTCAACTGTCAACTCTTCCTGGAGAGAACAAACACACACCAAATACTTTATTAATGAATTGATTAAAAGATGTTCCGACCTCCTCCTATTTTTCTTCATTCCCATTTAGAACATCAGATTTCTTTGATAATCAATTGTTCCTAACACACGAGTAAGAAAAAACAAATGACTTAGCATAACACAACACAACGGATGCACTTCGCCAGTGATTCAAAATTAATTCTTTTTCAAAACTTTTATTTCATGCGATATTGTCAATTGCTTTTATCCGTTGTTTTTCATAGCAATATTTTTATAAAATTAATTTTTTTATTTGCAGATTATTTGGAACAAAATGTGCAAAGTGCAATCTAGGATTTAGTAAAAATGACTTTGTGATGCGAGCTAGAAGCAAGATATATCACATAGAGTGTTTTCGATGTGTAGCCTGCAGTCGCCAGCTTATTCCCGGCGACGAGTTTGCCCTCAGAGACGATGGCTTGTTTTGTAAGGCGGACCATGAAGTATTAGAACGCTCCTCTGGGATGGAGCCAGAGGAAGGCAGTCCAGTTAATAATAACAATAATGACCCAAGGATGGGAACGGGTGGACTACAATTAGCAGGTAAGCAAACAATAATAAAAAAATCAAAATACAATAAATTACACCAAGCACTCCCCCTTACCCCCCTCACACACATACATAAAGTGCAGTGTAGCAAACCCAATAAAGGAAATAGAATAAGTAAGAGATATTGCTCTTTGAATCTTGATAGGTCTACTTCATTTGTGGGTTGTGATATGGAGAAGACTAGCAGAAGTATAAGACAGTACGGCACAGCTATTCTAGCTCTCTGTTTATGTATCCAAGGCAACGAGTAGCAAGAACCATGTTTTCTTCGTTCCAAACACAAACAAATAGTCCGCAAATATTGGTGCAAGAGAACAATCCTATAGAGATATGTTATTCTACCCCGTCCATGGACACCGGTTATCCAATACACGGCTCTCTGTTGAAATATGATATCTCACATTCCTAAGAGCTCATAGGAGGAATCATTCTGCAAATTCTAATAAAGCAATAGGGTCATTTTGAGTTGGACGTTTTGCATCACTCTTCAGTCAGTTAAAGCTTTGCCAATTATGGGATATCTTTCACATCTTTTAGCACTTTCTTATCGTTGTTTTTAAACATCGGCGATAATGATCTGACCCACGATAAAATGCCCACTAATTACCGTATCCAGTATCGTACAAAAATAAGTCATTTTCACTTGAATTAACATGTGACCGACTGTTTAAAAAACGGTTATTAATATATTTAGATTCCCAAACTCTAAAATGTCAGCAATTAGGATGATTGTGTTTTTAAAGTCATTTTTAAGTCTTTTCCCACAATGTCACTTGAAACTCTGATGACTCCTGTATCGTTTTCTTCTATATCACTTACATAGACTGTTGGAGAGAAAGATTGTTACCTAATTAGAAGCACAGTCAGCCTGGGGTTGATGGCAAAATACACGTGTAACCAAAAAACGGCTCTGTTAATTGCAATATACTGTTTCGCTCACATGTAATGTTACTAATTTCATATCTAACCATGCTCGAATTAAAATCATGTAAGAGTTCCCAGGGTCTACGTAGACTACACGACACCCAATGGTTAGCTAAGCTGCTGGCGACTTTTACATTGGACATAAAACATATTTTTAATCTTCAGAAGATGACCGTGTCGTCATGCGATGTATCTTCTCGTTGATGTAAATCCGCCATAACAAGTGTCAACTCACCAACTAGCTGTGTATGTGGTGACACAACACGGTTAAATTTAACCAGCCATTTCTGAAAGTGCTGGGCAGAATTTTTCATGCTCCGCGGTGGTTCATTTTGCGATGTCGCTCTCTAACGAACCGTGGTTGACCCCTGCGTTGCAGTAAGAGCGATGTCCAACGGAGTCTTCCCCTAAATATGTAGACCCTCATTCAAGTGTTTGTTTTAGGATAGATTATCGCCCCGGTAAAAATTGTTTTCTAATTTATTTATTTCACATGAGCGAAACGCTATGTCTTATTTAATGAATTATGATATGTAATCGTTTAAACAATTGCCAAATCATGTCGTTTTTACATTCTTTAAATTTTTCGAAAGTGAAACTGGCCTGAGATCCAGGTATGTCACAGTTGCGGTGGATTTACGTTATAAAATGGTCACGACTCACGACCAGTTTGGTCGTATTAGTGATGAAAATACGGTTAGGTTCTGGATTAGCACGACTGGACCTATCAATAGCGCAATCAAGTCGGGATGAAGTCGTCCTAATTATTTGAAGCATCGTTGTTTAATCCGAGTCTATTCTCTCACACAACCGCCTAATCAAACCTTCAGTCCTGTCAAATCAGGCCAATATGAAACGCTTATTAAATTCATTATACCATTCTAAAATAATCAGCGAGTTTCTATTGAATTCTTTGCTAATAAATCAAAATTATAAAAGAAATGGTCTCTGCGGGATTTGAAAGAAAGGCTCACTAAAGACCTCGCTTTTGTAGAAGGGTTGGCGAAGCAATCTGTCGGTGGAGTATTTCTTTTATACCGCTCAAGTGTACCACTCGTTTCCGCTAATTTTATGGCAAAATAATATACTTTCTCTCAACGAGAGTATGCATATGAATATTTGCGATATCATAGAATAACTTGATATTCGATTTTCAATTGAGCTCATATATTGTAGAAATCGAGTACCAACGTTAGGGTGTCTCAGACATCTTGAAATTGCTTGAAACATCTTACATTTTATGAATTCCAAATGTGACTGTCATTATATAAATGTGAAATTTGGCCCATATGTATATCTTTTTATGTAGTAAAGTGTATATAAAATTGCGAGTATCATTCAAAAAGGTGAAGGCATACTTCCCCTGAAACCTTACGTTCTTTTCACGTTGACTGTTCACTGGGATATTAGCAGACAGAGCAGATGGTTCGTTCAAACGGCCCTGAAAAACTCTCATATTTCTACCTTGTACAACACGTGCACATATTCAAGCCTTTAGTTGCAATGGAACAATAATTTGATTATACCCTACGAATTCAAGTAGTGCCCGAGGGCATGAGCCCCCAAAAACATTCCGACACTTTACACTAAAATTCGTAGTTGGTGTAACAGGGCGTGTGTTACCCTGTTTTCCATGCGCGTAACGTGACACTGAAACCCTCCCCACATAGGGCATGTATTTACAAACATTTGCGGCATATATGATTATGGAAAATAATTGACTGAATGACTGAATGATATATTTAGTAGAAACTTAAAATCTGTATGAATGTTGAGATCTATAGAAATTTGAGAAGCAAAACATCAAAACACCGACAACTATAGTAAAAATTGTATAATTAATGTCCACATAAATACTTAATGATACCGCTACACGCAAACTTGTGGGGTTTCAAATTCCTTGTGAGATTTTGTACATTTTCCGGCAACATAAATACTATTGATCGGACGGGTAGCTAGAAAGCGGGTCAGATAAACTATGGCCCGCATGGGACAGATCTGGGAAGCATATGCGACTGGAGAAAATAAGCAGCTTATTATGGCAGAGGATTGCTTTAATCGCTAGCCTAGGGGAGCCCAATGCGAATTAAAATAATTCTTGATTCCCGATCATGTTTCCTTTTCGGGGATGAATAATATTTCATTGATCTCATACGTGATCAATAAATGTCGTTCAGTGAAGTGCTCTTATAATAGAGTAAGATTTCTGAGTCGCCCTTTCTATGTAGTTCCATACATCGGAGATTGTCAAAAACTTCATTTTCTGAGCTAATGTTATTGAATTGACAAGTGTTATTTGACTGTCTTTTATTTCATACTTCACATTTCTCTCATTGCCAAGTTTTAATAAGCATATGCTTGTAATGCTTAGCCTAAATTGATTGTATTTTGCAACTCCAAATGGCTACTATTGATAGTATATACTTTTTCTTAATTACGATGAATAAATGATAAATGATGAATATCCCAACGCTGACACCATGTAACAAGCCTCATCCATATTTGTGTCTTGTTTTTCAGGACATGCAGAACAAATAACATCAAATGGGAGGACGTCAAGATCTCATAAAGAATCGAAAACAACAAGAGTTCGGACAGTTTTAAATGAAAAACAATTACATACATTAAGAACTTGTTATAATGCGAATCCTAGGCCAGATGCCCTTATGAAAGAGCAACTTACGGAAATGACTGGACTTAGTCCAAGGGTCATAAGAGTATGGTTCCAAAATAAACGATGTAAAGACAAGAAGAGGAGCATCCACATGAAGCAAATGCAAGAACAGCAAACAAAGGTAAACTAATATTTTATTTCGTGATATTACGTAAAAAAAGAAAAACTCCAAAGGAACTGTTCCGCTAGTAAGGAAAATCGGTCCAAATATAAAACAGCATTCGACCAAATTTTTAATATGTTTATAAATGGTCTATAAATCATGCGATTATGTTCGATACTTTAGTTGGACTTTAATTCTTTCTTTTGCTTGATTTATGAGGATTTAACTTACTTTACAAGCGCATTTGGGCTGTGTTACTAAACTATTGCGCTTTATTCTCGGATTTTCCACATACCTTATATCTAGTTCTCTATCATAGTTGAGGGTCTCTCTGGCCAGGTGAATGGTAAACCTAACTTCTGGTTTAAGGAAATCCTTTGTTGGTTAAAGAAAAGTTCGAAGTAAACCTACACTCAACAAACATGAACTGAAACTCCTTATAACAAAACCTATGCATATAAACCACTGTATAGGTTTCTCTACAAGGTGTCTGAGAAATACTAGAGCTCTTTGAAGCACTTCAATACAAACTGGTAGAATTCACATGATAAACTCTCTAAGTCAACAACTTATAGAGCTCTATGGTCATGAAAAATACAATTTTGTTCCTCGACTTATATCACAATGAACTCTATGACATTGCGAATAAAAAATTACAGCTTTTGCTAACGTTCTGCAAGTTATTGAATCATTAATTATAGGAGATGTTAGGCTCTGTGATAGCTGTTATATGATTATAACATCCCCTCTGGCCATTCAAGCCACTGTCTTAACAGCAGGTTATGCTATATAATGATGGCGAGCGAAACTAATTAATATCCAAAGTTTAATTAAAAATGATGATTCCCAATGAGATTTGTCTGCATCTTGACTTCGTCTTTGCCGCCTGTTATCAGAACAATATATAATCATTTATTACACCTGAGGGCTTACCTGTAATCACATATACACCTGTTTGTGGATTAGGATAAAGAGGGTTAATCCCCGTTCAGCAGTTTAGTAATATAACTGGGCAATTAATTTGCTGTTTTCAAGATGTTTTCCACATGCTTATGACTCTATCTACCACCTGGTCTTAGAAGTTGCTTGAAGGAAAGTGAACTGAGCCATGTTAAGAACGTAGTAAAGTAAATCCATTATGTCATATCATAAATTAGTTTTTCATATATATACAGTATATATAATTTATCTATATGATTCATGCAACTCATTAATAAACACTGCGTGTGGCTATCAGTCGTCTTCTTTTTAAAGTATAAAAGTATGTGTAAACAAATACTTTTTAAAGTGTGTAGATTACATCTTGCAATTAATTCAACATTTCATATAATTTGTAGATTCAGATGTTAAGTAAGTGGTTTACAAATAATACAGGTGTAGTATTGTATAGTTATATTTCATTCACTATTTCATCATGTCACTCGTAAATCAACGCCATTCGATGCAGAGTCACATTTTCTTTGTTTTCAAGCTCATAAGCCTATCTCTTCTATGCATAATTAAAGGCGTACGTTGTCATGAGGAACACCGTGACGAGTTGAAATGTTTCTCCTTCTATCGAGAGTCTCAGTTTCAAGACAGGCTTTCAACATTATGTTTGAAACAATGTTAAGATCTATGTAAAATTAATTCAGAGTGCAATTTGATATTAAAGTGATATGCTGCAACATTGTTTTAATGCCTTCCCGATGACTTAGATAATTTTATACAAAAAAATGGTAAAACACTAACACAGTTTTTCAATTAACTTTCAACAAAGGTATTGTTTATGTTAATAAAAAGTAATAAATAATAACTCTGCTTTCATTCTGCTATCATTTAGAGTCAACTTTAATGCTCATAAGAAGTAATCGTTTCATATTTTCAATCTCACCTTGTCTTTGATTAAACGTATCAAAACTATATGTACTATTACCTCGATTTTTGCACCATAACAAATAATATTAGGATAATAGAACACATATGAGTTAACAATTCTTTGGGAATCATTAGACACTAAAATAATACTTAGATAGGAGATTAGCACAATGCTGAAACAGGCAAAACTTCATTGAATATTACAAGTAATATAGTATGTTGGTTTCCTTTAGATTCTTTGATCACATTGCTGGTGTTCTTATAGTCACCTCGACACTGTGCTCAATGAATATTGTATGCGATTATAAATCAATAGCATGGTGGTATAAATATTCTAGAGGGGTGGTTAAAATGTATAAGTAGAGGCCATTCGGGTCCAACAGCACTAGATTCCCTAATAATACAAATAATTCGTAATATAATATAAACATAGTTAACATTGAGCAGGCCCAAGATCTGGAAATTGGTGATATTCCCCCTGTGCTTGTATTCCTTGTATCAACCATTTTGATTTCCTTTTGACTCCACCCCTTGCTTGCATTGGGGACTTGGTGTATGCTTTTGAAAAACAGGGTTAAGAGTTATTTGCTATTCTTATGCTTTTTATGTTACTGAAATAACCGATTGGGAAGACATATGTAGTAGTGCAGTACTAAGTATATGTGACACTTTTTAATTCTAAAATTTGTTCATAATTATGGTTTTCTCATGTAAAGTTAGTGCACATCCTGATCGTTGAACTTAATTAATCCTATCTGCCCCGGTTAAGTCAGCCATTATATGCCTCTTAGATTATGCACTCCAATTTTTATATACTAAGTATAGGGATTATCTACAAGAAAAAAGCAAGGTGCTAATTACCCAGGTCTCTCGGGTGTCAGCGGAGTATCTATAATTGTCTTTAAGTGATCATGGTGCTATCATAGGGCACGATAATCAGCTGTAATCAATAGCAATGCTTTATCATTTGCACAAACAATGACTACGGGGTTAATATCGTCAGTCCTCAAGCCCTTAATTCTGCCTAATGCTCCATACTCTGGTTTTTCTCGATTGTAATTTCACTAAGTAACTCACTGAAATGATATCTCTAAAATTACATAGAAATTTGAATCCTTGAAACCTCTGAAAGCTTTCGTTGAGAAAGTGACTTAACAGTAATAATTTAGAAGCTTATAATTTAAGGTCTCTGTAACATTACTCATTGAATTATTTTTTCACTTCCGACTATATTTTACCGCAATCATTTAATTAACTGGACAATAGTTGATAGACATTTATACATCTATTGCATCTGAATTATAAACTACAGTTTCAAAGAGATGATCACCTCAGATGAAGATCCCTGTTTAGACCGTTTTTTGTCTTAAACACCACTTGCATATGCCACGGGGAAATATTGAATGAATTCATGGTGCTTTATCATAACTTGTCATATTACGACTTGTTCTACTGAAATGCCATTCGGTGAACTGGATTAATTGGTTGACTTTCTCATTTCAGACTGATTTAGCAACACTAGTCAAACACAATTTATAAACTAAAACATGTTATAGACGAAAGTACACGTTTCATTATTGTGAAAACGTTTGGGTAGCAAATTCCAAGGTCTGTAGCTCAATGGTGGCTATGGTAACTACTTCAGACGTGAATAAATACTTTCCATATATTCGTCATAAAACACTATATTACAATGTAGCATGCATTGTTCAGTCAGATTATCCGTCCACATTTGTGCAGATATTAGCATGTAGAACATGTAGAATAATTAAAAACTATCTAGAATATCAACATCAAATAATTTTATTGAGTTTAAGGTAAAGGTAATTCGAAAATATTCATAATAGGCACATCAATTACCGCTTAGGTTTGGTCTAAGTTGATAGAGTCAGCAACACGTCTCACAATAGACTCATGTGACGTAGTTATTACCGCGATGGGTCAAAGACAATAAGCTATCAAAATTTTCAAAATAGTCAAACTTGAAATTTTGAAAAATAAAAATCTAAAACATCTGCATACATGCACAACATTATCATCATTTAAAACCACAGACTACAGGTCTATGATGGCCATGGAACACAGACATTCTTTCTGGCTTCTGGCTACCATCAGAGGTATCTGTTTATCTGGTATTTATCATCATTCCAAATCTAGCATGCACAATTGCCCAATGAAGCTGTTTATCACCATGCTTAGTACTTGACTTATGTACTACTGCACAAGTTAGTTTCCCAGAGGGTTTCTACAGTCACAAGTGATTGCTGCTGACCATTTGAGCCTCGATATATACACTGAATTGAATTTAGATGTGTTTCAGTGCTCAACTAACAACTCTCATGTTTTTAGTTTCCATTTAGAGCAAATGTACCCTTTGCATTCGTTTGACTTCACTTCTTAAAAGAGAGCTTCGTTTAACTAGACTCTGCACGCAGGGTAGAGCAAATGAGAGTCGCTGCTGTGTCTGAATTATTGGTGTCTAACAAATGAATGTTGCAGTTGGAAGGTGAAATATATCTTTTAGTAGGTGTATCACACTGTTTGTGACAGTGTAATTACATAATGTAAAGTCAACTCATTAGCTAATTGCTCGTAAATCAATGGAGATTAATGGAGAATGTGAAAGATTGCTGAAGGATGACAGTTCCTCGAGGGGCATGGAATATTAATGTTGATAGGAGGGGATTCTGATCACTGGGCAATACTTTTGTTGCAATTATTTGAAATAAAAGGCTATAGAAATATTGGGATTTCAATACATTTCTCCATTTTTACAGACAGTGACAAATCTGTTGTTTTGATTATAAATCACCACATATTTTAATTGCTGTATACACACGAATTAGAGTAGGGTCAGTGGAAATAGGATACAGATATTATGAAGAATTGGCCACAAGACTTGCTAGGAAGTTGATATAATACATGTCTGTATATACTTCAACAAGCAATGAAATATCCACTATTGGCTCTTCAGATGAGTCTGAGAGTTTCTGGTCTCGTATTTAACAGAGGGATTACCCTTAGAAACAAAAGTGAACGATTGTGGTTTGCTCCATCAATCTACATGGCGACGTAACCATATCACACCTCTTATGGAATTCACTGAAGAAACCCCTTTTTGAAATCACCCAAGCGTGACTTTATGAGTGTCACGTCTTCACTCTATGATTCAACTCTCTCGGAATTGTGTCTATTGAAATGGTTTGATGGTGGGTGTACATGTAGAATCGATCTGTTCGCACTCCGAGGGCTGTTGCCGTTGCCTAGGGTTATATACTCTGTCCATACAATATATTACCAACAATACACCATCCGTTTATAAGTAAACGGTTATAACGATTCTGTCTTGGAGCTGTTGTGTGGATAAAGTGTTTGGACATAAGATACTATGGCAAATAGCTGAAATCATATTAAAATGACGTGATTTTTATTGGCAAACTTCATCTGATCGATATTCTATTGGTGTAGAATAAACTTTGAACAAAGCACAATTGCAAACAGCATAATTAATTTGTGTGAGAACTTTACAATTAACCAAGTCTTCCTAGCATGGCTATAAGGTATCTGTCTAGCGAAAAACTCAGCTTCAGATAATATTTACTGGATCGAAAATCGTGAAATTTTATTCTATTCACGGTAGTTCTACACACTGGTTTTATACCTTGTTTATAGACTATTTACAGCCAAACATGGTTGAAATGGAGATATAAAGACGGTGTGTGCACATTTTTCATTGATGTAAAGGGACAATTTTTTATTTGAGATGTTATCATTTTAGTGACAAACTTTTGCTTTATTGAGATGTTGCCCGTTGACAGGTGTGTAACTTAATATATTTATCCCAAGACAACTTAGATCATTCTGATAAAAAACATAGAAATAGGCATACCATTTTTTAAAGAAATATGATTAAGATAATGAGCGCTATGTTTGAATAATATATAAATAACCCCTTAATGAGATATTTTCGCCCAAAGAGAAACGTTGGCACCTATATATCAAGTGGTAAGTCTGCATATAATGTCTCCAAACACTAAACCATTGTTTTTAAGATAGATATCGAACTGCAGGTGAATGTAAAACATCTTAAAATTAAATATTCTATTAAAATGTGTTTTATTCATATTATTATCGTCCATATTTTGTAAGGTACCCTCGTTCTGAAATGTCAGCTTTCATTAATCGCTGAGTTTGGTGGTGTTTACAACCGGGTCAGGTCCCTTCCTTATCTGGCTCCATCTAACAGTTTTATCAGCATCATCTCAAGTTCATAAAAAACTGCATGAATGCCCAAACATACAACAGAAAACCATGTAGATCCGGGGAGTTGATAAAAAATAACGTAAACATGGTAATTATTATGAGAACGAGTGTAAAATTAGACTTGTTATAGTCGTATAACTAACTGTCATGTTTGATCTCACGATCAGGTAATCTATAAAAATCATGAATACTTAATAACATAATTTTAATTTTAAGAAGACTACGCATAGAAAAATACATCCATTTTAAACAAATTATTATTAATTTGCATTAATTATCAAATCATCATTGTTTAATTTAAACATGGCCTATTATGGATCATTTTTTATTTTCAGGGCCTGTTCACACATGAAGTAAGTTTATTTAGCATACATCTTTTCATTTAATGAACCATTTTTTATAATTGTGATTTAAATATATCCAAAACCAATATAATGATCTCAAATATTTACTCCCAAATTGCTATGATAAAGATATTTGTCTCACAAGAGACGTTTAATTATCCACTTCTGAGCAGTATTTAGTTATCATAATTGAATTTGCTGCGAAGATTTTGTATGTTTAAAATGTTCTTGGGTATCACGCAGTTTAGGAAATTATATATGGAGTTTGTGCAATGAATGGAGCAACAAAAGATCCGCTTGGTCGACTATAATTATCTCTGTGGAAGGCTTACCTGATTATACCCTGGGTATCCAGTAATTTCACGAGGTTATGCGTTACTATACAAACACTCAAACTTAGAGAAAATTGGGCATGAAATGTAATGAAAAGTGTGTGTTTTACGGCTCGGTGGTCTGAGATTGTGGGCAAAATGTGGGAAGACTCGCCGCTATCGCCCTGGTCTGGTTGTAGCTAGAGGCTCAAGAGGCGGAGGCATCTACGGGAGTTCTATTCATAAACAAACCAGGCGAACATAAAGTGACACTTGTCTCGCTGATTATTAAAACAGAAAACAAATACAGTTTAAGATAATGATGAAATTTAGAAAGGTCCGTATACCATCAGGGATCTAATATCTATGCCTATTGTTTATAATTAATACGGGCATATTGTGTAAATGTGAAAAAAATTGAAATTGGATCGTCTCAGAATTGTATACAAATGAGGTGTTATCACCATACATATCTCTGATCAGAAATGGTGTGAACCTATCCTCAATCAAAAAATCTGATTATAAAATGCATTCGCATGTCCAAAATTCTAAGTTCTTGCAATCAAATGAAGATTCCATGCACTAAGTCAAGCTGTTCATCGACATGTCGTGATGGAGCAATAGGAAGAAAATATTTGAGCTCATCATGAGCATTCATGGTGTCTTCAACGGGGTTGAATTAGCTGAATACTGTGATAAGTTTCTACAAAAATGGAAGGCAAATTGCAAATAAGGAAACAAGAGATGCAAATAGAGTCTCATTATCTACTCATTCATTGGAAAGATCACGGCAATCTGAATCTTCCTAAATACAGGTCGATCAGATGGTAAGAAAACACACGGACTTTTTTTGTTTGCTTATTTGCAGATATTCAAGGTCACCATTGATTTATCTCTGTCATGAAATACTTGGACAGCTTCAAAATCTGACCTTGGTCGAAGAGATGTTTCTCAAACGTTGCTATGGTTTGTGCAAGAAAATGCCAAACGGTGACATGACTTTGATTCGAGGCAAAGCCTATCCTAATCCTTAGCCATATGCCAGGAGCTTGGCCCGGAGGCAAGATTATCTTGCGATTGATAGCAGGGCTGATAGCCTCAACCCGCATGACAGATAAACCCCGACATAAACGAATAGATTGAGAGTGACAGTCCGGTATGATAACCAACTGTTAGACAATATAGTAATCGTAGTTTATCACGACATACTCTATAAATTAAAAAATTGTACAAGTCGGTAAAATCTGTGAAATATTCCCAGCAATATATTAAATAAATTAGCTTAAAATGCGGGTGGTTTTCCTTGTTGATATATAAATGCGATATTAGATGGCCTATAGCCTTTGATTGAACAGTTAAACATAAAGATGTGGTCATGGTTAAAAACGCTTATAATTTTGTTAGTTGTATTCAGATTTACAGGCTAATTCTTGTCCACAGAAGCGCTCTTGTGAACGGCCTAAGTTTGTGTACAGAGCTTCAATAGGTATTTAATTCCCAAACTTGTGGCCCGTAACTCTGTTGACAATAGGATTTAAAGAATAATCCCTACTGCTACTCGCTCTATTGTCAAACTGTGTGTTAGTTGTCAAAAACTGTTTGCTCGGCTTCCAGGCATATGAACGCTAAGTAGAAAAACACACATGCACTTGCTATTCGAACAAAACTATCGTCAAGACACTTTGCTGGGTACTTTACCCTCTTTTTACCCGTGCTTCATCCCCTCAAGGCTTGTTGAACCACCTGAGCGGTCCTCAACTGGGCCTCAACTACACCTTAGAGGCACTTTACTGTAGCAATATATACATGGATGATCGCTTACGATGCAGCGTGACCTTGTGGGACATTAATGTAATGTCATGAGGTAATATTCATAAGGTATCCTAATCTATGTTCTGTTATATCTGGTATGCACATACTTACAATAGATATTGACAGACAGATTAGTAATTTGACCAATACTGGATTTCCATACATGGAAGCTAGCATTGCATGTTTTGGATCTGATTTCATTACATCATTATCCCGACCTTACTGACCACAAGGTTGCACTTGAGAAAAAAGTTTGACCGACATATAAAAAGTAGAAAAATGGCCAAAATGTCAGATAACATCGTAAACGATTGTGAATGGATGAAAAAACATCTCCACTGTTAGATTCATATCTGAAGAGTGTGTGGCGAGAATAAACCAAATACACATGTGATTATTTATCCTTTCTGTTGTTGTTTAGCCCTTCTGACAGACCAAGATTTACGAGTAAACCTTATAACATCACTGGATATTGTCGAACTTGGCATTCACAAGAAAATATAGGCAAATAAAATGAACAGTTGCCTTTTCCTATCTAGACCTAACATCAAACCATTGTTCACTTTTATGAAAGTACCATTCAAGTCTTACTCATTCAGCTATTAAGGTTTTAATTCCTGAGATGGGCAGCTGAATTATAAGTAAATCGAGAATAAAACTTTCTAAGATAAAATGAGTAAATGTTTTGTACAACGAGCTGCTGATATATTTTGAAGTAAATTCTCAGTATGAAAATTGAGATGTTAAGATTGGTATTTTGGGTAGTGTCAGGTGGACAGCTGTTGATGGGCGCTCAGAGACAGAGTCGGCGGAGGTAACGGCGCCTCCCATCCACTACCATCGCTTCTGCTTTAGAGAACACACTTCCTCCACAGTATAAGATGTCATGCATGGAATATTTTACTATTTAGGTCTAAAACAATTGTGTCCAAAGCAAAAGGAAACCGTAGATGATGGTGAATAAGTCCGTCTATTTTTATTGTTGGTTTTATTGGTTGATAATGTTTTATTGGAATTTAAAGGTGTTTCAGTTTTTTACATTCCGTCCAATCGCTGGCTACATACTTTCACATTCAGATCTTGCTTTACACGTATTGTCTCATATTTCACACGGCTGTGATACTCTACATCCTCATTATTGAAAAACTTCTATGATTTAGTTGCATTTCTCGTTGAATCAAAAGTTTCATTTTTTATTTTGTATATATTCTGATTTATATGGGAGTTCTCAGATTGCCGGTGTGTATATTTCATTAAGAAAAATTGCACTCAATGACCTGGAGATAAAAACCCACAAAATAATCAATGTCAATTCATTAAATCTATATATGTAATCGGAAGTCCTTTGATATATAAAGTATGTATATTTTTATAGGTCAATATTTGACATTTAAAATACAATGAATGAGCCACAAACCTGGCTATGTGGCTGTAAAACTATGTATCTTCGTATGTCTACTTGTTCACCAGATTTTACCATTTTCCATATCACTCTAATTGGTAGTGACTTGGCTACACTGATCACACTGGTTTCTGCATATCGCATCTTGTATTTTTCCCAGCAATACCAACAAAATGCAATTCAATAGTCCTAAAAACAAATCAGTTTATAGGGCCCTTGGAAATTCTTTAATTAAACGTTTGCAAGTCTGGGTTTCTTTAAATGTTACACTAGGGCTGTCAAATTTATTAAACTTCGGGCATAATGTCATCGTTATAAAATAGATTGTTTGGTATGAATAAAATATGGCCATTGTTTCATTTGTGTTGAAATATGTCCTCACGAGGCTGTCTTGTAAAAACATTGCGCCCCAGTTTAGTAAATAGCAGATGACAAGGGAACAATCCCAAGTGATTGATCGTTACAAGTGAAAGTCGAACACTGAGAGTTACATCTAGAAACTAAACCCAAGTACTTCTTTTTGCCCTTTTGAGCTATTTTGACTAGGACAAGCATCATGTTCAATGCTATAAGATGCTACTTGAGGGTTCTAGATGGATGTTGGGCTCACGCACTGCTTCAAATTCAAATGTTGGACACGGAGTTACACGCTTGTGTTTGACAATGTGTTGTTTCTTCACTCTCTTTTGATCGATTAGACTCTCTCAACATCTAAAATGAAACTCTCAATCGTGTTAGAACCTGTTATAAAGCCTGTGATCTACTACGAAAACGATACAGTCTATGAAAAAATAAATCAGATATGTATCAGTACATCTGATAAATAACAAACATATGTTTTCAGCTAAATCCATTCCCAATGCCAACTATCACAATAACATTTACAATAATCTTGATATGCACATAGTAAATCAAGAAGAACTGACTGTTAACTAATACGCTGTGTAAATGTGTAACTTTTACAAGTACTATTAATCCACGTTATTGAGCGTCTTATTGCACATGGTCAAAATACTTTGTTATCAGAACTGGTCCTTTGGAAAAAATGTTTGAACTGTCACCTGTTACAGTGACTGCCACCAGGTTTGGGGAATTCATCACGAGATATATATCGAAACCTAAGAAATAGCTATGCTTTCTAATTATCGTGTTTAACTGCACAGTTGTTTCAACTGGGGCCAATGATATGGTATCTTTAGAATGATTTTATGGCAGCATATTGGAGTCACTGGGCGCTGGAGACATTTCAGAACGATATAACCACCGTCTTTAAGATAGCGAGACCACCTGCCATACAATAAGTAGGGATCGACTTATTTTTGTATCAACAGTTTACTAGTATATAGTCGTGTAATATATTTGAGTGTATCAACAGGCTTGGGATTAGCCACTTGTGTATCCCACCACCACACCACCCCCATTTAAATCAATGGTCACCTAAAGTCTACACAGGGGTGGGGCTAGAAAAATGAGGGGAATGGAAGAGTGGCAAAAGAGTCGAAAGGAAATTTTGGTCATCACTCAAAAAATTCACTTAAAATGTTTATTGTATAGAACTTGGGAAGTTACTCTTCACTGATTTTGAGTTTAGAAATAAGTCATATAACTGTTATCGTCAAAGAATGGGTGTCTTTAGTGAACTTACGTAGTATTTTAGCAAAGCCATTTACACTTCGTCTACATCTTTATTGAAGTAGAAAATGTTCTGCATGGAGTATGTTTCTGCTCATATATCTGCCGTGTGTGGTAACGCTGAGTAGTAATACTTCAACCGTGACCTGACAAATGTCAACGAAATTACCTTTTACTTATTTATTTTCATCGGGCGCAATTTCGGTTATGAAAATCTCTTCTTAAACATATGATGTATAGAATCATGGGTGTTTAATTAAATTATGAGTCCATGAAATCAAAGATATGAAAATCTTCTGATTATTTGAAATCCAATGTTAAACGTCTATAGCCTAGGTAGATATGAAGTCCATTGTTTACTGGGTAAGATAAATTTGATACTCAATGTATACTAATATTATTATTAACTGATATGAATGTTTTGATACTTGTGATATCATAGCATGCGTTAAATACCAGAGTGAGATATGATATGAAGTTATTTAAAAGTGATTACGGCGTGTGCGAGAGATAAAGTCCAATTATGGAGTAAAATTACGACTAAAGAAGATACACATCCAAATATTTATGCAGTGGAAAACCACAATTAATATATTCAGATAATAATGATAACCAATGTTTAATAAGATCTCTTGTGTTATTAGTATTGTATCAAATCATTGGGTCTTCCCCGTCCTATCTAACTTACCCTTGTTTAGGTGGGTCCTTATGGAGGGTCACAAGGAATTGGAACACAAGTTATAAGGCTAGGAGGATTTTTAGAGTTAGTTAGTTATATATTTATTAGAGTCTCACGCTGAATTTTTTACAATCATATAAAATCAATAAATAATTAAAACAGCAGCCCAGCCGGCATCGGCTTATGAGAGACTTAAAACTTGTAATTACTAAAATAATTCTCTTCTTTTCCTTATCATGTGTCCAATGGTTTTAGCAAGTAATCGTTGTAAAGAAGTGGTAGTTAGTATTACACAATATTTAACAAGTGTTGGTAGTGAATCAAAATCGTGTACAGACTGTTTTGCTTTTTCAAAGAGTGTTGTTCTCAAATCAGTATAAAAGTCACAGTCTATAAGAAAGTGCATCTCGTCTTCGACAGCATTTCTATTACAACAAGTACACAGTCGCTCATTAAGGGGGATACCGCTATACCGTCCGAGTTCAACGTTAATGGGAAGAGTGCCTGTTCTTAACTTGGCTAGATTGCTCCGTTCATGTTTATGCATAGGAATTCTAACATATTCCTCCGCCGTTACCATTTGTGTTTTATGCAATCGGTAAGTCCTGAGTTTATTACCGTTTTCAGGATTATGACGGTCGTTCCAAAGTGCGGCATGCCATTCGTCGGCTTCGACCTCAATACGATGGTCTTTAAGTGATTGTAGTATAGATCTTACACCGGAGATTTCACCATCAGTGATAAGATTTGGTTTGTTGTTCTCTCGTAACAAACGCTGCATTTTATATTCCCACGAGTTATGCTGCGTCAGAGACCAAAGGTGAATTTTCTTTGTTATTCTGTGTTCTGACATGTTTTTGAGTCGACACCACAATCTCGTTGCTTCCACTTTTTGCTTAGTGTCAACTGAGACCCAACACATATCTCCTTGTGTAGCTATGTTTGACGCGTGTTGGCCGACACCTAAGTAGAAACGCCGGGCTTTGTTCTGTACAATAGTTGCGGCTGCGCCTACTGTTTTGTTTGTTCCCCATACGCCGGCACTATAATGTAACACTGGTGCAACTAGACAGTCAAATAAATGGGTGTTTTTAGAAAAATGTATGGCAGATGATGTGTTTGTGTTTGTGTATGTGTGTGTGGTAAGAAGTTGTAGAAGTCCGTATATTATGGTTGATTCTCAAGATTCAACTTCGTTATGCAAGAACACTTGTAGAACGATCAGCAGCACAAATGTTATCTTTAACCAGAACTCCCTTGGGTTTTTGTTAGCATCCAGTAGCCCTTATCTCCTGTATTATCGCCCATAGAAAGAGATACCACTCCAAGCCACACAAGCATATGATAATACAATGATCTGGGATATGTCGAAATTAAAGCGTTTGCTGATCAAATAAATACACCGAACGAAAATGAAACATTTTTATTTTTTGAGTTATTTGTACATACATTTTTTTACCTTCAACACAAGGTTTGAGATTGTTCAGAATATACAACCGGTCTGTCATTGTGTTTATCAGAGTCGGTATGCAGGTACATGTTTTAAACTTGATTCTACAGAAAAACCAGAGATTTCTCAAGTGCCCTCTCTGCATATACGTGAAGATGGATTACTACTGACTGGAACTATGAAACTTTGGCAGCCAACGGCCTTACCAATGTGTTCAATATTGGAGCCTAGTTAAAACAGTTTTTCGATTATTTACTTTTTTTCTTCAAATTAATAATTCAAAATTTTGATTTAAGAAAGTGTACAGATATCAAAGAAGGGCAATGGCTAAAAAAAGAATGATAGTATTATACTCTAGTGTGAATATAAAAATGTGTAAAAAATTAATACAAATAAGGGACGACTATAATTTTTCCGCTCGTGTAGTACGAGCGTAGTGACTCGCGAACCTGTACATGTGTATATACTAGTAATGCTTCAGATAACCCTACAAAAGGTTGATTAGATAATATTCCCCAGAGCTCGTTTGGCTCCCTTTGTCTTTGCGATATTTGTATACATGCTTCCAACTCTGGCTGGTGTTGTGCAAGTTTGCAATAATTGTATGCACCATCAATAATTAAACATCCCTACCGACGTTTCTCAGTTTGGTTTGGTTTCCTCGTCCGATATCATTAAAGTTTGTGAAATAACAGTGACTGCGTTCACATACTCACGAACTTCATCTTATGAGGTTTTTAACATTGTCAGCAAATCATAAATCGGTTCATAATTTTCTAATTATGGTTGATCCATGACCAACTAAGATATATTGTAAGGTTGGGTGGTTGTATGTTCGTGCTGTATGAGGGTACGGCGAGGTTGGATTTAAACACTCCCCAATGCATTATGCATAGCTAAGTCCCGTACATGTTAAAATCGTGTAATTGTTGTAATATTAGAAGATAATTGACTGAGGAGATTGTGATATACGATAAAATATAATAAACAAATATATGAACATCCACAAGTGTCGGATGATTCTAATGCTGATAGAACTCATAAGAATACAATCAATACAACATTCATTCATCTGAAAATAGAATAGAAAATTAATCATTTCAATTTGTGTTTTTCAGAATGGTCTCCAGAGGCCGCTACAGGGTGTCCACATGGTAGCATCTAGTCCAATCAGGCATGAAAATACAATACAGGGTAACCCCGTAGAGGTACAAACCTACCAACCTCCATGGAAAGCCCTCAGCGAGTTCGCAATGCAGAGTGATCTGGACCAGCCGCCGTTTCAGCAACTGGTGAGCCGATTTGTTGATACTAGTGATGAAGACGATACTGTCGTTAGCCTCGAAGAACAATGAGCCATGACCCGGTAAAGGTCTAATCATGTTTGGCCTGATCAATCGTCTGTGCAGAACTGTCGCATAATAAACACACACTAGCAGACTTACAAAGTCATACTGAGAGTCAATTTGGCAATGATTTCCGCTCGTCATTTAGTGCCCTTTCAATTTGGAAGCCAAATTTTATAGCCAAATGTTTTAGTGTGTGTTGATGATGCGACGTTCCTGGTCACAGACAAACTAAATGGTGAATTGCCCACACGCTTGAGTATGGTAGTTGTAGCGGGCAGTAGAGGTAGCATGTTGGTATTGGGAATGAGTTCATCTATAGGCCCATGGTCTCTTTAGTAGTTAGGAAAGTTAGAGTCGCCAGTTACATTTTATCTAATGCTTCTAACCATCTTTGCTTTTCCAAGAATTATACTGTTATGAGTTGCGGAAATTGAATAAAGACACCATGTCTAGAATTTGCAATTTGGTCAAAATTATGATTAGATATTGTAGAATCTGAGATTTTGTGCCTCTGGTAAAGCAAGTTGGATGCTAAATTGGTGGCTGGAAGTTACAAGAGCTTTAAATATCATTGAAATCTGTTTTTTGAATGTTTGTTTTTTCTATTGTTGCTATTTGTGCCTCTAGTAAGAAAAGCAAGTTGAATGTTAACTGCATCATAAATTTGATCACATTATCCAGACGATTAAGAGACAATTACTCCAGAAACTTTTTCCACTCAACCGGCAAAATGTCATCTGGGATTCGCATGGCTTCACTGCATCCATGCAACGTGCATAAACCATAGTCACATTGCTTTACTGCTCTTTAAATACGTCGAGGGGAAGGCATGATCTCTTCAATGCAACTTACAAATCTGATAAATTGAAAGTCGGTTGTTATGTCAGAAACATGTTTAGGAAGGTGTCACTTTACGTATTTTGTTGCTGGCCCGTGCTTTTGCGGCACCTGACTCTAAGGTTCCAATTCACTACCGTCAAAACTACATGAAAATGCGTGTCCCGCATTCCCAATAGACGCCACAGAGCTTCCGTTTATTTTAACCTCTTCATATTTCTTAGTCTAGTCTTTGACATGGCTTGGAGGTATAGGGATGTTGGTGTTTTGAGGCAGTTTGGTAGACTATCGTTCTCGTGCTGTTTATAACAACAGAGCGTTCTGGATTTGCTGGAATATGCCAACTTCTCTCTTCTGGAGCAGTTCCGTTTGACTTTCAGTATACAGAGTAAGGTCCGGGTTAGAATTGATTTAGGAAACGTCATGGATATTGATGATTTTCAAGTGGGGGTTTGAAGCTTCAAGCAAGACAACGTGTGAGGCCATTGCTAGCTGGCACGACCGAACATCAAACAAAAACATTCTACGGGGCTCATCATACAGAAATACCTGAAACTGAAATATCGATCTGATATTTTGAGACATGAGAAAAAATCTACTATGAATATTAAAAGCATGTCGAGTTGGAGTTTGAGAATCTGAATAAAGAGATGGTCCCACGTAGGAAACTGTATCTTCGATATGCCCTGAAAGAATGCAGGGAAGACGTCCTTGGTCGATATTATGATTTTGTCTTGTGTTTGTTTTTTGTTTGTTTGATGATTTAACAAGAAAGGTTGCTGTGCAAGCCTTTATCTAGTATTGACCTCTGTCTATAATACTTTTCCTATATATCCCAATATGCTTTAATGAGAACACGAAATGTCAGATTTTCCCAGAACGTTTGCTTCTTGCAGACCGGTGACTCTTTGTGTACATTTGATGCAAATCCGCCTAGGTATACAATCACGCATTGACTGATGGAAAAATCGAATTTTCTGCACATGCTTCTGGTTTCCTATTTGATTAAGAGTAAAATCTTACGCATACCTTTGAAGTCGAAGAATCAATATACAAAAAGCGAGAAAAATTGAATAAAATAATTAAGAAAATACATGTAATTACTATTATGATAATACATCAATATAATTGCCAACTATTCAACTAATATCGAGAGTAAATGCCCCTGAGCTAAATATGAGTATTTTCTATGATTCCAGGTGAATTCGTTCGACCACGGTGACGGCCATCCTATGGGTCACGATGGGGACGTCTACAGCTTAGATGATGGTACAGTACTCCATCCCCCTAGTTCCGTCTCCTCAGACTACGCTGGTACACCATCAGAGTTATCAAGTCCAATCAGCCAATGACAATGAACCGACCAGTCAGTTCGGAACTGATGTCACGTGACTTCATGGCCAACTGGCTGGTTGCATAACCATCTAAGTCAAAGCTAGGATCCATTCCAAACGATGTGTAGGAGCTCATAGTTCCAGTTTCAAAAATCTTAAACAACAAGCTGCATACCATGACAACTTACAAACAAGGACAACACATCTTCATAGGGGAGATATTGACAAACGATATAGCGTTTGCAAATTGAAATAAACATCCATGCCATTTCCCTGAATCAGTGTCCACAGGAAACCTCAAGACGTGAAATGTCTCATGAATGGATTGACTGTCCCGATGAATTGAGACATCAGTATAACTGTGTCGACAAGCAAGTGATCCGGAGCCTTACCGCAGATAGATATGACTCTATATAGGCGCCCCTTTTATCACTGTATCGTATATCTGCGGCTTTAACTGTCTCGCGAGCCCTCGGGTTCTACTACATTTGATAAGGCAAACTTAGCCAAGCATTTTATAGCATAGAAACTCGATACGTCATTTGTCAAACCAACAAATAGCACTATTGTGTCAATCAAAGAAGTTTTAAATTCACACCAAAAAATGTCTTATAGTCAAATGCACGTGGTGGATGGGAGCTCAGCCGCACAAAATAAAGACAGAAATCATGTTTGTTTGTCCGACATTATATAATTGTCTCTCTTTGAAGAACTGACTGTCATATTTCATAAATTTATCTAAAGTATATAAAATAAGTTGTAATATAATTATATACGTGTTGTACGTACACGTGGTCTCTTAACTTATTGCTCGTTCTTATCAAACGAGATTTCATGAGGCCTTATAGGCCATGTCATTCATCACAGAGGCCTTGTCATTCATACACAGGCCTTGTCACTTACATAAACATCATCCGGTCATCATTCTCATTACATGTATATATGTCATTACTCATTCTCATCTTCATCATGATTGTCATCATTATCATCATCACATATATTATTAATATTGTTTACATGTGGCCGTTTATAAAATCTGCAGAAATGTTGAAAATTAACTTTGAAAAAATAAAAGTTTAATTCAATGATATAAAAACCTGTGTGTGTGTTTTTAATTAATATTGAGTTTGTCGTGTATGTAGTTAAACTATTTTGAGCAGATGTACATTCCAAGGGCCCAGCCACACAATGGAGTCATAAGACCATGACGTCGTTTTTCATCTATATCCATTACATGAAGAATTGCTAGTGTAGCCTATTGTTTAAAGTTAGAATAACTTGCATTTTATCAGATGGTTTCGTGGACATATGGCATAGAACAGTAAAACCTTCATGTCATCGCCAATTGAAGGTATGTTGCTTTAACGAGAAAATTCGGTGAAAGCACTGCGATAACGAACAAACATTACAAAGAAAGAAACTTATCAAAATGACTCAAACTTATCATGTTGTCATCAATGCTTATATGATCATAGCTATGGCAGTATTCATCTGCTCCTTCTACTTATTCAAAGGGAATGGGTAATTAATCTACAGCAAAATACGTTTACACGGGGTTAGGATTTTGTTAGATACACTCCCCTCCATAAGTTTGGCAACCTTAGCTCCCTCATTGAACTACGTGTTAAAGCCTCTTTACGTTAGAACTTTTATTTACATAGCCTGTGAAGAAAATACTTAGTACTATAATATTGAAATTGATAATATTAAAATTGATGATAAATTTGATGAATTTTTGAAAATCGTCATTTCCATGTAAACCAATGGGAAATGGTGGGTTCGGGGCAAATCTGATTTCAGGATATCTATCCAGTAAAAGATTCACCAAAAATATATTTATATAGAAAATTGAATTGTCTAACATTTTTGCATGCTAAGTGTTTAGTTTACTTTATGAATACTAAAGTTACGGAGCTTCAAAGTCATTTTTGGAAATCATTTTTACGCTTCCTGAAATTTCAATGGGAGGAGTTTTTTGAAAAATAATTTTGACTTTGAAGACCTGAAGAAACATATTAATTTTTACAATTAAAGTTAGCAAATTCAATTGACTACCTAACTTATAATTTTTGCAAGAACTTGGATGGATGAATATTCTGTCATATGGCTTGCAGCAAACCTACCATTTCCCATTGGTTTACATAGGAATGTCAATTTTCAAAAAATCATCAGATTTATCATCAATCTTCGACCTATTGTAACAGAGGAAAAAATTGGCAAAATTTGGAGGCATTCAAAATATAGTCACGTTACGTTTCCATCAATATTATACGAATTTTCCTCACGGGTTATGTAAATAAAAATTCAAACGTAAAAAGGCTTTAACACGTAGTTCAATGAGGGAGCTCAGGTTGCCAAACTTATGGAGGGGAGTGTAAATATCATCTTCTCTAATAAATTGCTTTTGTTAACATTTGTGGGAACTATTCAGTGTACTTTTGTCATATCATAACAATAATCATTAGTATTTTTAATAAGTTTTCCTCAAATGTGAAATGTCCTTTAAATGTGTCATCCATGTAGGCACTGATAACAATATAAATTGAATTCAATTGTCTTGAAGGACTGGTTGGTTAAAGCTTTAAAGAAGAATAACTTGTGCAAGGAGACCGGTGGGTTGTGCTTATTGCAGACATTCTTTTATGATCCATGTACGTGAGGATTACACTACACTATATACAGCGTTGCTTTTGATACGCCATAATATACATTTCCTATTGTTTTATCAGATATCCTTTCATGGTTAATGACCCACGGTTTGAGAATACCTAGTGTTTATTGAAAAGCACTCGATTTTTATTACCATTTGATGAAGTAAATCTTAAATAAAGATCTAAACAAAAAAACTAGATGTGACTTTAATAGATTGAATATTTGAAACCAGTGAACGACTCGATACGCATGGACAGACTTTTTTTTTTACTTTACTGATATTCTATGATTCCTGACTACCTCCACTCCAGGAGAGTCATGAACATGCATCATTAATTAAATTAAAATCAAATTAAATGAAATTATCTAGATTTAATTCAGATTATCTCATGAGGCAATGGAGAATGGTGTTATCTGGAGCTACATGTGTTCCAAAATGTGTCCAATGAATCAAAAAAATGTATTCCATTATCTTAATTTTCCAATAGTGCCCCAATGAAACTTTGTCAAGTTTTATTAACGATCCTGTAAATTGATTTACGATTGATTCTCCTTAGTTAGTTTTCAAATGAGCAACGGTTATACTGTATAATTATGACACTAAAATCATCATTTTTTCATATTCAAATTCTTTGTTTTTTCCTAAAATATCAATTCAGAGCTTCTTAGTTGTGACTTTCATGATGACTGTATGCATTAGTAGTATAAAAGACATGACTGTGACTTTCTTATGGATGACGTATTGTTCTGTTTATTTCCGCTGAATTGGACCAGCATCATTGTGTTTCAGTAAAAGGCAGGTGACTTGTTCCAAACACTACTTGGTCATGAATCATGTGTCTGGTCGTAAAGGCAAAGTACAATTGAACATTGAAAAGCAAATAACAAAAAAATGTCTTCCAATGTCAAGGTTATATAAATATACAAGGTAAAGGTCAATTCAAAGGCTAATTGTTTGTTCTCCTAATAAGGCCACATTTATAGGTCAATGTCATATTATGGGTCAAATCATGATGCATAGATATTACTTTAAAGACTTGATGTAATGCATCCTTGTACAAATGCACAGTGTGGGTTTGGAATTTGACGAGTCTCTGTGTCATCGTCTTCGAACTTCAGAAGGCTGCCGCTTGATCATATGAAACATTACCATTAAATATTTATGATTGATCTGAGTGTCAATATGATTCCAAAAGATTTGATATTATTGGTCATAAAAATAAACCTATAATGGAAAAAGTCATCTCTAAATCATACCCCATGGCTTAAATATCATTGAGGTCAATCTTGTGTTCTGGCGAGTCACTGAGTTTGTCCGATAAACTAATATATCAGGGTCTTACTTGGTTAGTTTATTTTATAGCTTTTGTTGACGATTTAGATCCAAGGCAACTATAGGACTTGGTGAATTGTGTGAAATGAGGCGATGACTGTTGTGCAGGATTGCCTCATTTCTAGTGATATTTATTACGCCTGATTGGGTCTCATGTCCGATAGCATGATGCTCACTGAGGCACGTGTAATTCAATTGATCTTAGAGCTGACTTTTCACTTTGGCGGCACAGGGAAGTGAAATGGGGCCTAGCCAGACAAATAATCTACAATCGCAACATTATGAATAATTTCAGTTGCAATCGAGCTTATTCTTGGGTCACATTAACGATATTGCCGTTTGGCCGTGTAAAAACTAATTCGGTTAGGTCGAGCATGCTCTCAAATCAACTAAACCAATCGAAGCTGGAAATGATTCAAAGATCGGTGCATGTACGCAGTGAACGTATTTCGTGGCTGAGGGCCCAACTTCTACAAGGCATATGGTTCCACTTACATTCGGATAACTTCGACCCTCCCTATAAGATACGATAATTGTTTATACTTACAAGTTCAATACCGAATTAACTACAAAGCTATCTTTCATAGCAGTTGGTAAAGGCTATCTTGAAGAATCATATGTCAGGGTCACTTTCACATTGCCTTCTTATTACTTTTTTGATTTAAAGAATTGATTTCCAAATAGATCAGGGGGATAATTTTTTGTTATTTTTTTCGAGGTGCTCGAGATTTGGAATTTTTAACATACTAGGTATTGGTAGAATTTTTGATTTTTTCACCAAGACTTAAGTTATTTGACCACATTTTTTAAAATATCAATTTTGTCCAAAAATACAATTAAATATGTCGATCTTAATTCATGCAGATTGAAGGATATATTCGGGGGTTGAGCTCGCTACAGCTCTTTGAGCCCAGGCGATATTAGGTGTGAGCGATGCAGCCAAAGTGTGACGGGCGAGAAGACAGCAGATCCTTCGACGGCGGTTTTTTGTACCATACCTCGAGAGTCTTGAGCTATGTGAAGTTTATTCCAACAATAATCCGATAGTTCAAGGCATTGACCCGGGAATAATTGAGAGGGAGGTGTTACTGAAATACAATCAGATTATTTCAGGGATTCTATGGCGTGGAATCCTAGCCCCAGGGCTAACTGGTAAGTGAATGGCGAGAGGCGATGGGAGTAATGCGATTATAGACTAGAGGTGTAGCAACTACCACCTGTAGGTATTACGGGGAGCAGAATGTGTGTGCTGGGGCTCTAAGTCCATTGTATAAAGATTAACACCCCTAATCACATTCACGTTGAGCAAAAACATCAACAAACATCCCCAAGGGCGGTGTTTGAGCTTAGAAACCTGTATAAATAATTTCCTAACATGCGTCAATAAAGTGGAATCGCACTTTAAACAACAGCTCGAGATTATCTTTGCGTGTTTCAGTAATTCAAGTGGTTTATTTAGTTTTTACTATTTCAAGTTTAATTTCCAAAATCAATGATGACATACGAATTGTGAGTGGAGAATGCCTGTACCTCTTCGACGATTGATAGCAATCAAGTGGTGGGCGAGATACGCTGTGTTTTGTTATAAGCCACCGACAAAACTCTCTTTTAAGAAAAACGGACGAATGCAAATGGTATATGCGAGATGCTCTCTGGTTCATTTACTTTTTTAAAATGGAATCGAAATTCATATTTTCACGAAAAAATTGATATAGTGCAAAAGTGAAATATCATGTTTATAGTTTTTAGTCATATTAAATTGCCTCACTAAAACTGTATAGCCCACACATTAACTATAGCATAATATCGTCTATATTTTTACAATTCCCCGTTTGGAACATTTTTTATTTTCTGTAAACATTGAGATCATTAAAACTACCTATACAGGAAATGTACCTTTATATTTTCGAGGATAACATTAACTTACCAGCGTCTAAAACAGTAGCCTATACATTTGATACTTAACTCGGATTAAATTCTGATACAGTGGCGCCACCTCGTTGTGGCAACATCTTGACCCATATAGAAAGATTTAAAATCCACAGGTCCAGAATAACGTTAGCAAAA